GGTTTGTAAAAGACCGTATTCTGTGCATTACAGAATAATGGGGATCGAGTACTGTGTGTCATTCTTCCAATGGCGGGGCCTCTTCGTATGGTGAAGACTGCGGTTTCAGTCTCTTCATTCGTCAAAGGTGACTCCTTCCTGATGGGTTCAAATATCCCAATGACTGGCTCTCCTGCGATATAGGATATAACTAGATCGTCGTCATCGAGCTGATCCATAGGGGATTCTGATGGTAGGTCATCTAGTTCGGTATCATTCCGCACTGCGGGTAACTCGCCACGCTTAGTGTTATCAGTCATGATTTCTCTGATAGATTCCGAATGCCCAAACGAGGTAGGGGAAGTTTCGGTGGTGATTAGCTCTGGGAGTCCATCTTCCTTGAAAATCGAAACTTCTTTATCTGGTGCATCTTCGACGGTGGGTTTCGGTGGCCATTTGGCCTCTTTACCAAACCAAAAGTCACCGGTTTCCCAGTTGATCATCGGATTGAGGCGTTTAAGCCACGGCATGCCGAGAAGTATGTTTTCTTTGCCAATGCCGGTCAAGAGGAAGCGAGTAAGCGTCTTCCTTCCTCCGATTTTCATCATCTTCCAGGTGCAATGAGTAATGGTACCCATTTGATTTGGTGTGCCATCTGCATTTATGACTGTAATCGGTTTCGGTAATTCCCATCTGATGAAATCGTTTTCTTCCGCAAAACGAATGTTCATGAACGTTTCGGCTGCACCAGAATCGATCAAGGCTTCTGTTGTAACGTCTTCCTTCTCTCCCAACGAAATATTCACGGTGATTAAATTTCCGCTAGTGTTACAAATAACGAGGGGAGATACGGTAAGATGCGACGGTCCATGCATTACTAGTGGCCGTCGTCTCAAAAACCCAATTGGGTTCGTTCTTCGTCAGTCATGTCGTTGAAGACGTTTCGCACATAGGCGATCTGTTCCTCTCTGGTTTCTTCCTTCGACGTCTCCTTCTTCAGTGCGAGGTCTTCTCGCATCTTCTTGATCCATGTGATCGTGTCTGTGTCTAACCCGGGATGTATCGTTCTAGCACGGGTGAAACTTCCAGACTGGGGGTGAAATTGTCTGTCGTTGGCTATATGGCCCTTCTTTCCGCATAGGAAACATAATCCTTCTTTCATTCTCTTCTGTCGCTCGTCTGGGGATAAGCGCGAGATATTGACACGATCAACATCCATCGCGTTTGGATCCTTTGCAGAAGCCGAGTAGTAGGGGCGATGGACAGATCGGCCCTTTCCTCGTGTCGTCGTAATGGCTCCTCGCTTGAAGATCTGAGCAGATCTCCATTGGTTATCAAACCGCGAGGCGTATTCGTACCACTTGTCAAGTGTCTTGGGCATGCTTTCCATCCCATATATCCTTTGTCGGAGTGGGTCGTTAAGTCCCCACTTGAAATACTCGATATTTCCGGCATCTTCTAGTTTCGCCTTGGATTCAAGCGATCGGAATTCGGCAATGTAGTCGTCCGCAGTACGAGTTCCTTGCTTGATGTTACGCAGCAAGGTACGAGCGGTTTCTTCAATATTTTCATCGCCAAATGCTTTGTTCACACTCACAATGAAGTCTCTCCAACTCCCATAAGAAAGGAAGTCATCATTGGTGAGTTCCGTTTCTATGAAGCTCTGTGCCCATGATCCTGCTGTTCCTCCTTGCATGTGCGATAGCATGAATGCGATCTTCTGATTGTCCTCCTGGTAGACATGGCTATTTCCGGCCATGTAGTTCTTGCATTGGTTTATAAATTCCCTAAGCTTCGAACGGTCTGAACCGTTGAAGATCTCGGGTTTTCTAAAACCAAGTTCCTTCTGGCTAGCATGGTGACGTCCTTCATCCATGGTAACTGTAGCCATCGGTGGTATGTAATCGGGTACGATTGGTGCAAGAGTCGGTTGGGGTACAGGATTCTGGGCAGGGGGGTTCCAAGGGGCGTCTGGTCTTTCTCCTGGATAGGAGGTCGTTATACCGCTGTCTGCGATGTGCTGGAGCACTATTCCACCAAGATTATGGGGAAGTGTCCTTTCAAATTCCTCTGGGGAGTAGTCGAAGTTGTGATTGTCTGGCCTGATGAATACAGGCCTTCCTCCTATGAAATGTGCGTTTTGTTCTGTGCTCCACTCCGCTTGGGATGGGAGTGCTCGCGGTACTGCTCTGGAAGAGCGGTCGGGTTGATGTAGTTAAAATCCAGCGTGGATAAATTCTTCTGTGTGGCCTATGTCTACACGTAGACTGCACACCGTCCTTAACTAAGTGGGTTCGTTCGTCGTCGGCTAACAAGCCCGTAGAGTGTCTTCTGTCTTCAAACTGATACACCTATTTGCTGATTGCTCGAGTGATTACCTCAGCCTCCTCGGCCTATTGGTCTCTCGGACAGACCCCTCTCCGAAGATGAGTGATCAGTCTATCCCTTCAGCTACCTCGATTACAGAGTAATCTCAAACGGTGCTTTAGCAATCGAATCGGGTGTATCGTTCAGTCTTCAAGGTTCGGTCCGGTCGGTAGTTCGTTGTTAGACTCTAGGAAGTCACAGAGAGTAATAAGATCTCGACCTAATGTTACGCGGCAGCGAAACACGAGCGTCTAGTCGAGTCGTCACGAGACAAGGTCTTAGTCTAAGACACAAGTCCGTTCAAGTGACACTTCTGGCGATGTCCTCGCACTGAAGGTCGATCAGAGTTCGTTCTTATGACTCGTAGTAGCTGTCCGCTACTGACGGTCGATCTCAGTCAAAGGCAAGTGGAAAGCTGGTTTAATGGTAACCAGGTCGAGATGGGGATCCAGCTCGACAAGGTCGTTTACTTATACAAAAGGTATCCGCAGTACTACGCAGTAATGCGAGATCGTTCATTGGCTAGATAAGGTGAAACGATATCTGGGCAAGGTAACAGCGAGGAAGTAATATGTATGAGAAAGCTGAGTAAGGTCGTGAGAGATAATCAGTACTAATGGGGATAACGAGTCGTGTATCAGAATGAGGTAAAGATGAGGCGTACATGCACGTCTTGCATGCACGATAAGAAGAAGGTCCGGAGTTGGATCCGGTGTAACCCTAGACTAGGGGTTCTGGACATCTGGGTAAAGAATCGGAGGTTGCGCTCCAATGAGTCACGTGTTGGATCACGTGGTCTGGTAACGTAAAGGGAACAAGGAAAAGAAAAAGAAAAGACGCGCCACAAGTGGGGAGCGTTGTAACAATCAATCTCTCCCACCAACAAACATGGGTCGCCGGGTGTGCCACCAACTCTTTCTTCGCGAACGTCACTCAAATTACTGTACTACTGCCCCCCAGATACAAGGACAAGGTAACTTTGTCCACCAAATGACGCGACATGAATTTGCCCGATGACATCGTAGCCGCAAAGAAAAAGAAAAAGAAATAATATAGTCCTTTCGGTCTTTTTTATTTCTCTCTTCCCTTTAACATCCAAAAAATAGTCAACTCCATTTCGTCTTCCTTTTGCCTTTACTCATCTTGTACTATCGTAAATTAAGACACAAAAAAAGGAAAAATAAAAAAATTGATGAACACAAGTTTGTCGCACAAAACTACTGACTGCTACCTAAACTGGAAAGAGACTATTGCGAGGTAAGTGCAAGCTGTAAAGCAAGCGCTTCTCGAGTCGAATAGGTGTTGCTGGTCCCTAGTAGTACGTGTCAACCGTAGGGCTCACAATGTACTGTATACGGTTACAGCCATAAAAGTACATGGGAAATACTGTATGGCTCGTATTTATGGCGCTGCTTCTGGGGATTCCCTTATATGATACTGGTGTGTCTATACTTGCACGCGTATTGGGGAAAATACATGTGATGTGGGTTAGAACCAATCGGACGCTGCTGCCGTTGGCTCTGGCCCTGGGCGCTTCATCTTGGCTGAAGGGCCAGACCACAGTCTGGGGAGGCTCCGAAATGTGACAGTAAATGCATATACGGTCGTAAATGTATGGGTCACAGCATATCGTATCAGTAACATTTTCAGATCTTGCCGGGCGTAAACGATGTGGTCCGTATCTGATACGAACTGGGATATTTCCGTAATTACGATACGGTTGCGAGCCCTATTAGTCAACCACTGGCCCATGGCTTCCAGAAGCATGAGCCGGGCTCTGAAGCCGTCCTCAAGGCCCGGCCCAGCTCAGCTAAGGGCTTGTAGTCAATCACTACTCACACCGGAGTAGTGATGTGCATGGCCCGGCTCGGCCTGAAAGCCAGGGCTACGGCTCAGCCTGAGAGGGCTCAGGCATGATGAAACTTCAGGCTGGGTCTAAGCCGTCGATGATGGCCAGGCTCAGACTCAGCTCGGCTCGGGCCCCGGCCTGTTGCTGGAGTGCGTTGTGGAGAGGGGCAGCAGCACAGTGGGAACATGAACATGCAGGGGATGGCTGAGGGAGGGCCTCTGCAGCTGCAGAAATAATGGTGGCATCTGCGAATGTGAGGGGACAGCAATTAATGTGGCGCGCTGCACACAAATGTTAGCCGATGCAGAAACACTGAGCTTGGCGCTGTCAGGAATGATGCTCCGGCCCATAAATTATACTTTGAGTTGATAAGCTGAAAGTCCCGGACAGACTTTTCCATCTGTGGAAGTGGCTTGGAACACAGTTCGGCCACCATGGACCAGCTAATCAGGACACAGTGTCTACCCAAAAGCCGCGGCCTGAGCCCCCGGCTCTTGTTGCCTGCGAAAATTTTGCCTTACATCCTTTCTCAGCCAATCAGGTCGTGAGAATAAGCCTGTTTACAAAAATGTACAATTGTCTGACATTCTACCACATATGTACAATGTTAGATGGGATATTTGCACAATATTAGATGTCCAGATATAGCTCGCCGTCTCCGGTGTCAAAAGCATCCTTGACATGAGCTGCCTATGTCCATTGTCGGGATCCGACATCAATTGAACCACATTATTGACACAATGGGTCATATGCTGTACATACTTCAACATGCATCACAAAACACTAAGTGCAAACAGTGCATGTTCTAGTTACCTGCAGGGCGATGGAATCGTACATGTGAGCCGGCAGCTCGTTTCCTGGCACTCGTCCAGTGTCTCTTGAATTCTGTGCTATAGTCAGTCTTCTTTTCATTCAATAAGGCGAACCAGCTTGAGATTGTTTTAGGAATTTTGGTGCCCGGCTTATCCGTGTATTCGTCGAATTGAGGAGTAGCAGTGCGGAGAAAGCGTAGAACGCAAAAGTGCAACCCCACCGAGAACATGATGCGCAGTTCGTCCTCCTCAGGGAAAGCAGCAAAACCGAATTGTGCTTGAGTTACGCATTGACGCATGTGTGCCCTTAAGCAACGGTCCAAGGAGGATGTTCGAACTCGTTCTTCCTCATGAGGAGAAAAGTCGTGGATGACAAACGGTTTGATCTCATGCAAGAACAAAACATAGCGACATCTGTCGCTGAAGGTAACCAAGGTGAGGAAATCCGGGAATCGAAGTCGATCTTTCTTGGGGTGAACCTGATCTTGCTTGTCAGAAAAGTCACTAAAATGGGACCTGGATTCGTCTTCATCATCATTTATCTCTAAGTTCTCGAGCATGTCATCAACATCCTCAGTGTTGTCGCCGAAATCGGTGGGATTATGCGCGGCCTCGTGATCGGTGGTCGCTGCGCCGTCGTCTGAGTGAGCACTCCCTGCATCGTCGTCAGAGTGAGCATTCCCTGCATCATCGTCAGAGTGAGCACTCCCTGCATCATCGTCAGATTGAGCGCTCTGTGCGTCATCGCCAGATTGAGCATTCGGTCCGTCGTCGTCGGATTGAGCATTCGGTCCGTCGTCGTCGGATTGAGCACTCGGTCCGTCGTCGTTGGATTGAGCATTGGATGTTCTGTCATCGGGACGAACACTCGCTGTGCCATCATCGGAATGTGCAGTAGCTGCATTTTCATCGGATCTAGCAGTCTCTGCGGAGAGCTCGTCGGAAACGATTTCTGCAGAGCCGTTATTCTCATCGATACGAGCGGTTGCTGCAGTAATATCATCCTCATTGGCCTCGCCTGTGTTCTGGGGAAGGGGGGCAGTGACCATGTCTGTACCCATGGTGTTCCGATTCACATGAACAGTACTTTGGCTGGAATCAGCAGCTGCATTCCTATAGGCTTGAGCAATGCGCCTTGCGGTACTGCGTGTCAAGCGTTCTATAAAGGACATGAGTTTGGCCATGAAGAAATTTTTGACAACATACCTGTGTGCGGGACCTCAAGCACTGGAGCCTCGTCGTGCATGCACAATTCTCCCTGCGGATATACACTGATTTTCACACTAGAACTGCTGGTCCGCAAGGCGTTGAAATTCAGTCCGTAGTCGTAAACATGATAGAGGCCATTCTCTCGATCCTGCTGAGTCGCCTCGGCGATGAGAGCATCAAGGTGGGAGATGTGTCCTTGAAGTGTCAGTGTGATGGTAGTAGGCCAATTAGAGGTCCGAGTCATGGTAGCTTGCACGTAGGGATCGCTGAGTATGCATTGAGTGGACTCGTACTTATACATGGGCCATATTGGCCTCATCTCAGCCATTGCCACTTTTGAGGACAATGACGGGCCATGGCTCAAACATGCGTTGTAATCTCAGATTCGATTAGAGATTTAGGTAAACCAAGACCGTTGGCCTAGACACAGACGACACTATATATGGCCAGTGACACGGGTCAAACTCAACCATAACCATTATCGTCGATTATGTCGCCTTCTAACCCTTCCAACTCCCAGTGTTCGAGAACGTCTCGCTTTCCCGTCGATCTACCAGGTAGTAGACGTGACTTACCTGTCCCGTTCTTTCCATGCAAGTGGAAGCTGACTCCCGCGGTGTGTGGCAGTCATTTATTTTATGTAACACTTCGTTCAAGGCTGACCTATTCGTGCTTCAGAACATTTTGAGAGTTAATCAGTACCCTCCGTTTGACGTCCTACCACGGATTCTCGTTCCATCCTCAACTGCTCGTATAAAACCCCCTGTAATGCATTACGGGTGGCCCGTGAACTTGTGGTTGGACAGACAACCGCTGTTGGACTATGCTGAGAAGCACGACCTCCTGTTCTTCCATTGTAATGACATTGATGGAGAACAAGATCTAGAAGAGGAAGGGTGCGAGGAGGAGATAAAGAACGACAACGATGGAGCCGTGCGACGAGGAGGGCGTACGATCAACGTGGCCATCTCGATTGATGCCGCGTTGGAACGCCTTACGGAGGAACTGAAGATGTGCTGGCCTCGTGGCTTGTCGCATTTCGAGTGTGCGTTTCAGGTCAACTCTAACATTGGCCTCATCATCTCCCTATACACCAATTACGATCTCCGAAACACACCGTCGCCTGACGCTATCGAGGTGTTGCGTAAATGGCTCGGTGAAGATACACCAAAATGGTATATGGACTCCGAGCGGTTTTCCTGGACAACGCGCGGCCCTCGACGGTGAGTCACGGGCTTTCTGTCTTCGTGAGTTTCATCATCATTTCTCTCAATTTTACAGCCACTAAGGCCACTAAAGCTTTAAATTAGAAACCTGCTCACGGAGGCAGCGCTCCATTGGCGGTTACTTTGTTCCTATCCTCTCCAGTTTATGTAGGTTGTATTGGCAGTAATCAAGTTCTCAGTTGGAATGTGGCTGTGATTCACTTAGACATGCGATCTTGAGTATTCCGGGAATTACAACAAGAGGTATTTATCCATCGGTTGGTCGTATTTTGAGTGGCACCCGGTACCTGTCGACGTTAGCCTCTTTAGTCAGCCTAGTTTCCCCTCAGGAAAGGCGGCGTGACAAAGTGTCATCGGTGTGAGTTCGCCTCGTCGCACTTCGCATTGTTCAGCACTGAATCTGACATTTTGAGCCACAGATATCACAAAGAGTTCATTTTGTCTGTCAAACCCTGCATGGTAGAAAAAAGAAGTTGGCTGAAGGCGAGGAACCTCATTGCGCTCAGCCTGCTGTGGATACAACTATACCCCTACGTCCCAGTTAGTATCTTCCTCTTCCAAGTCAACGTCAACGGAAAAGGTCCTTGCTAGCGTGACCTTCCAATCGATCACCCGGAACAAGACGAGGTTTGCCAGTCCAGTTTATTCCGTGCAAACGCAAGTTGACACCGGACGTCCACGAGAAGAGCCACTAACCTCTCAATCTTCCCTTCTGTGCTTCAGGATTTCCCGTGAAACAATACGCTCCATTGGACCACTTACCCCGAATACTCATTCCATCTCCGATTGCTCCCATCAAACCGCCTGTGATGCACTATGGGTGGCCCGTGAACACAGAAATGATGTTGGACTATGCAGAGAAGCACGGCCTTCTATTCCTCTACTCAGAATGGCCTGATGGTGAAGATGGTGAGGAGGATACGGGTGAAGACGCGGAGAAAGACGGATATGTGCGACCTGAAGGACGTCCGATCAATCTGTCGCTCTCCATCTACGTTGGAACGCATCACAGAGGAGCTGGAATTGCGCTGGCCTTGCGAGTTTCTACACGTCAAATGTGCGTTCTAGGTCAATCCTCGTATCGATCGCATTACCTCGTTATACATCGACTACGATCTCAGCAATACACCGTCCGCCGAGGCCATCGACGTGCTCCGTAGACGGTGCGGAGAAAACATCGAAGTGGTACTGTACTCGGAGACCTGGAATTACAGATGGACTGTTCGTAGTCCCTGGTAGTGATTCTCCTTGGTGCGTCTCACATTGGGATGTAAGACGAGACACTGTACATGAGATTGATAGCAGCTTTTCCCGTCTGCCGGAATTCACTTCTGAGATTGCTCAGTCCTACCGCTCCCGCCAAGCATATTCATAGTAATGTACTCTCGGTCAGAATATCATAGTTGTTGCATCAGCAGGTTCTATAGTTCCGGAGTAGCTCACCCGACGCCGAATGACCCAGGGTTCGTTGGAGACATTCCTTCGGCATTCGGCCCCAGCCTGAGGAGGAGCAGACAATACATAAGGTACGAGGAGGGTTGTCCTTTATCGACGTGAGTTGCCTGTTGCCCTTTAATTGAGTCTGTGAGAGTGTTACATTCACGTTATTTCTGAACGCCTTTCACAGCAAAAACTTCGAATTATCGCGCTGTGAAATATGGAGAGATGGCATTGCGTGATTTTTCGGGAATATCTATATTGTCATTTCATTGCGGCACACAAAATGGCTCCTCCAACATCGTAGAACTGATTTGGAAATGCACCTGCCTGTTTGGAACGAATAGTGGCTTCCTCAGTGCTGTGCCAGCGTTCGCAACGTACCGATGATATCTCAATTGAGCTCGTGAGCAAATCCCAATCTCCGAACACAAGACGAGAGTCTCTAGTCCAGCTCAACTCCTCCAATTACTGGAGAAACATACGGTGACCGTTGACCCGCTAGGTATGTTTCTATTCTCATCTCGTCCTGCCCTGTGCAGCTGCTGAATTTCTCCCCACACACTCCTGGGAAGAGTTCCTGCTCGACTGTACACAAACGACACTTCAGGTATACATTCAACTTTGTCCTGTTCTGTTCCGACGACATCCTGTGTTTCGGCGCTACCTTCGACCACCGAGATCATGCGTTTACCAGACGCCGCTAGTAAGCTCAGATCGCAAAGGAGCTCAAATTACTATGGCTCGCGGTAGCCCGTCGAGATCCACGACAATCACTGTGACGATCCTGTCCTCTTCCGAACACCGTGAAATTTCTTCAACTCACCATCACATCGTCCTCTATCAAACTATCGGAGCGCTCCGTGCGCGTCTTGAACGTTTGAGCCGGTAGCATCGAAGCATGGACATTACGGATTGCCCGAAGCACGATGATTGGTGGGCTTTGCTCCTTTGTTTGCTATCGGTCCAGGTCACAGTGAGTGTACTCCGAATGCAACTTCTCGAGTTCTTTCTCGTGCACATGAATCATAGCACTGTGGAGTGTCTGTCGTGCATGGCGCGCGGTCGTTCAATAGAGCTTTTTATCACTCGTTTCTTGCTCTTTCGCTCTTGTACGACCGACCGGCCCGGAAATTCCCGATTGCACAACGTTCCATGAAACCGTCCTGATGATCGACACTATGGTGTCGTCATAGAAGACAGCCTCCGCCGACGTGTGCAAGCCCATGCAAGAAGTCGCGTAGTTGTGAACAAAGGCACGGTAAGTGGTAGTATGTGGCTGTGATAGGCTGTGGGACTTACGTTAGTCTTCCTAGGTCACAAGCTCGGTCGTGGCCGCCAGCGGCGAGACGAGCGAACGCCAAAGGCAAGGTCGTCCTGGGCAGCGGTGGAGTCACAGTCGGCGTCCACCGGCGACGCAAATCTAGCCTCACCGATACTGGTAGAGTCATTACGCCCACGTCTGAGGATCAAAAGTTGATCATGGATGTTGGGTCCGTCTGCATCCGTCGGGCGAATGGAGACCGACATCGAGCCTAGATATATTCGAGACTGACTGTCTCCTAATTTCTTCCTTCGCCGCACCGACATCGAAGATGTCTGCACGTTACGCTCGTATTCCTTTCCCGTTAACTCACCGCTCTCTTGCGGTCCGCGGGATCAATAGGACGAACATTTGGCCTCCTGTTCAGCGGCATTCGCAGGCGTCCCCTCTCGGGAATGTGGTACTCCGAAATGCATCGCGCCGAACGATGTCGACGACCTTCCAAATACCTAAGGTACAGAGGGCGGCGATTTTCGAAAAGACTGGTGCGCCTTTGAAGATCAAGGACGACCATCCCGTCAAGCAGCCGTCGGAGCTCAAGCCCGGAGAATGTCTCATTCACCTTGACTGCAGCGGAGTGTGCCACACCGACCTGCATGCGAAGAATGGCGACTGGCCGATTCCCGCGAAGCTCCCCCTTATTGGTGGACATGAGGTATGTACCGCTACGGGGCCGATGTGTGTATCCCGTTGACCTTCTTGCAGGGTGTTGGCATCGTAGTTGCGATCGGAGAGCATACTCAGGATTCCCCTGTGAAAATTGGCGACCGTGTTGGGATCAAGTGGCTCGCTTACTCCTGCCTTGATTGCGAGATGTGTAGGAAGGGCCTCGAGCAAAGTTCGCCAAGTTGCAGTTCATGACACCGTCCCATAAGCTGAAGCTTGAGCCTACTCACGCCAGGCTGTTTGAATGGTCAATACAGCGGCTTCACCGTGGACGGCACGTACTCCCAGTACGTCACGTCGTGGGTTCGCCACGTCACTCCTATCCCCGAGGGCATCTCGAGTGCGGAAGCCGCATCAATTCTCTGTGCAGTGAGTGTCGTGTGACAGTCTCTATTTGACACCCGACGCATTTGGCCGCAGGGTGTCACCGTCTACCGTGCGATCAAATACTCGAAGGTACATATCGGCGACTGGATCGTGCTCCCTGGCGCAGGCGGAGGACTCGGCCACTTAGCTGTTCAGTATGCCGCAGCGATGGGTTTGCGCGTCCTCGCGGTTGACACGGGTGCGGAGAAGAAGAAGTTGTGCATGAAGCTCGGCGCAGAGAAGTGGATCGACTTCAAGGAGTCGAAGGACCTTGTTGCGGATATTAAAGCTGCAACTGGCGGGCTTGGCCCACATGCGGCCGTAGTAACGGCGTCCACGGGCGCGGCGTACTCGCAGGCGATTGATTACCTGCGAAACGGCGGTACCCTCATGGTTGTTGGGCTGCCAGCGAAGGCTGCGCTGGAGGCGGACATCTTCTACACTGTCACGAAGAGCATCCAAATTATCGGTTCCTATGTCGGGTGAGTGATAGAGTGGGCGAGATTTGAGATTGCATCTGATGTTGGCGCAGGAATCGACAAGATGCGCGGGAAGCGTTGGATCTTGCCGCCCGGGGTAAGGTCAAGTGCCACTTCACCCTGAAGCCTTTGGATGCGCTAGCGGAGTGAGTGAAGATGCACAAGTTTTCTACTGTTATTGACGGAATGTGTTCTCCAGCACGTTTGAAGGCATGGAGAAAGGCTCAATTGTCGGCCGGGTGGTTCTTAACATGAAGGATTGAGGGAGAGTATGAGTAACGACACCAGCAGACGCAAATTTGCCTTTGTGTTCTACCCATAAGTGTATTTTATACCAATTTTGTCGCAAAAGTCCGCGTCTTTGTACTATACAACGTTGGAAAATGAAAATAACTCCGCGATGCAAGACCAGAAACTTGTTCCAAGTAATTTTAAATTCCGTGAACGAGGGATGGATAGACTTTGTCGCACCCAGCCTACTGAATGTCTGACCCCAAAAGCTGGCGTTGACCAAATCTGCCCAATCTAACTAACCGCGATGAGTCCAGACCCAAGACAGGCTTAAGCGCGACGTGTTAGTCACGTGCTGGAAAAGACCTTCCTTTCTCGTCATACACACCGCTGAGCACACTCTCGCCTCACGTAGAAAGCTGCGTCGATCTATGCGACGTCTTTGACCGTAATCTTCTAGTGGTCGAATACGTCAAAAGGCTGGTAATGTCGGCAAACAGTCCCCCTTCGAAGCGGCTGAAACTGGGATCATCGCCTCCTTCCTCTGGCAACCTGCAAGCTGGTGTGATGCAGAAATCTGCGGCGGAAGAGGAGGCCGATGCAGACGTCGAACACTGTAGCATCTGCCTGCAACCCATAGTCGACAGAGCGGTTATACCCACTTGCTCACATGAGTTCTGCTTTGAATGCCTCTTGGTCTGGACGGGTAAGTTACTTGCACGGTTTGAGTGACGGTTCCGCCACGCATTGTAAACATGCAAACATTGATGCGATGACATTACTTGCAGAGCAATCACGCCGATGCCCTCTGTGTTCACAGACAATGGGGGAGTATCTCATTCACCACATTCGCTCCAAGTACGACTATCAGAAGCACTACCTTATCCCACTTCGCACGTCTCCCCACCCGCTCGCTGCACAGCAAAATGCAAGGAGACGGGCACAGGTGAGACGCGAGCACGAGTGGGGGAGGAGACAACGGAGAGCGTGGGAGGAGGCCGACGAGCTGCAAAGAGCCATTGAACGACGAAGATGGGTGTATAGGCATAATTTGTATGCGAAGGTCCGTCCAGTTTCCTGTTAACTCCAGATGCTGGAAGAATGTGATATCTGTGCGGAGACATGGATGGCAGCTGAGGCATGGCCGAGCACTGAGCTTCCATACGGTTGATGGCTCCCGGCCAGCTTGACCTCAGCCAGCTTAAAGTCTAACTGCACCCTCTGGGTCGCCTGAGGCGTTTGCAGGCTGCTGACGGATCGTGAAGTAGTCACACATCCGTCGGCCCCCTCAGCGATAATTATAGACATACTCAATGCTGAAATATGCTCCCCTTCTAGCATGTAGCTACGAATTCATACACGCACTATCGGCCGTTTCCTGCGCCCGCGCAATTTTCAGCAGATCCCGTTCTCATCAGTCGTGCCACGGCCTTCATTAGACGTGAGCTACAAGTGTGGGTTGGTCTAGATGTTGAGGTGAGTTTCTACCATTTTATCCGTGATTGGGTTCGGGCTACTGACAAGCGTTGTCATGGCTAGTTTTTAACGACGTTCACGCTGTCGTTGATGAAGTCGCTGGACATACGCTCGGAGCCTGCTATAAGACTCCTTGCAGAATTCCTGGACATGGACTCAGGTGGGTCGCGCGTCAACGCGGAACATTTCGCACACGGTGAGTTTATCATTATGGTTTGATATCTGTAGTGAGATCATGTGGCCCATTGCTCCACCGCGGCCTTTCCCGTTCCGTAAAGCGCACCGCTGGCGTAATTCCTCTAGTCACCGGTCACCACTCACTCTAAGGACTGCCGCAAGCATCTCAATCGAATTTCATTGTGTCTTCCATCATAGAAGAACGATCTCGCTGTTGATGCTTTTGTGTTATTGTCTTACTCCTGATCACCCTGCTTAGCGGGATCTTCGCCTTGCACACATTTGAAATGAACTCCCACCTGCCAAAGACCGCGTGTTGGCCATGCACATCCTAATCTTATTGAGCTGACCATTGTCTTGTTTTCTCCCTGATAGAACTCTATTGTTATCTACGCTCGCCTTTTCGCGACATCGGAGTGTACGACTCAGTTGTCCAAGTGAGTTTTTCTCATCCGATCCCGCTGTCCTGCGGACGTGTAAGCCGTTACGTAGCGAGCTCATGGAGTCTCTGACCTAGTATGATGCGCCAGAGAACCTGTCTTCCCCAACTTTCCCTGAGCACAGCAGGAGGTGGGGTCCACGCTCTCGTTCGCGCTCCCATTCCCCCTCTTCCTCGTCTTCAAGCGTCAGCATACGCTCTTACTCCCGTTGTGGTTCATCGTCACCATCCCCGCCACAAATCGTACCGTTAAGCCCCCCGGCGCGCAGGCAGCAGTCGTCGTCTCACGATGGACAAGTTACCCGCTTAGATGCGAGGCTCTCCAGATCTCGTCGACGCTCATCTCAGGCCGTACTTGAGCACCGCACAGACAGAAAATCGCACCGTCGGTCTCACGAACGTGGTCGCGAGGCTCCATATCGACGTCAAAACGGGAGTCGTGGCCAGTCTCGGGACCGTGAGCGATTACGCAGTCACAGTTGTCGGTACGAGGCAAGTGCTGAGCTAGTATCCGACGACGGCGGGTACCGTGATGCGAAGGGGAAGGGGAAAACCCGTGCAGACGGTGGGGAACTTGACGATGCGCGAGTACGGTTTAAACGCGATGTCGACGATGTTGACGAGATGAGACAGGCCGACTCCCGTTACGTGGAGGGTAACGTTAGCTCCGCTACTGCCAGCGGACACACCACGCACGTCTCGTCTGGGGTGTCGCCACCCAGTCGTTCCAGCGATTTACCGGCGATACATCTGCGTAGCCCCAAGTCGAAGATGAGGACAGTATCCTCAGGCAGTGTGGCACTCCCTTCGACTGAAGCGTCCCTTCAACCAGCGGACCAATTGCTCGGCCATGATTTAATTGTGGCGACGACAACGCAAATTCCCGAGCGAACTCGTCCCCCAATACGCTTTCGCAACCGCAATCTTTTGGAGTCTGTGCAGGCTCACCTGGCTGATCACAATATGCAACCTCGTTTCAGGAAGCAGCATAACGAGAACGAGGGTCAGGAGACCGGTCCATATCTGTCCGGGGCGGACGAACCTTGTAATGGGCGCCTCCTTCCTGCGGAACGTACCGATTCTGGTGCCTCCTCGCTGCTCCTGCGGATATGCAACCTAAACCATGACTCCCATCGAACTACTGCAGCTTCCCCCTTTGCAAATTCCCTTGCTTCTGCGACGTCCGCGGGCGACGCCCTAACTCCCGCAGCCCGGAAGCTGTCTGCTCCGGATATTATGGCACGGGCACGGGCACGGCTAGCGAGGTTGAAGGCCTCGTCTGAGTCGCAAGACAATAGCAACGGCCCGGCATATGGGAAGGACGGCGTTACTACAATCGACGGCAATGTGACGGAGCAGCTAAACGAGCTTGGAGCCTGGGAGGCACCCGCACAGCTGGGCTTCTCTGCTCATGCAAACGATCGTGTCCCTCGATCGGGATTGTATTCTTCAGCGCAGGAGAATGAAATCTTGCATGTTGCCGGTGGTGCGCCGTTGTCTGCGTCTGCGAACATGCGCTCCGGACTCTTGAGCAGGCTCGCCGAGGAGAAACGTTTACAGAGCGGAGCGTCATTGACTGCGGGTGTCACACAACTTAGCGATGACAGGCAAGCAGCGAGCGATGCGGTTCCTATGGTAGTTCCCAGTCGTAACGACAAAGATCAACCACTTGACGATACTCAACAGTCTGCGATGGCACGGGCCGCGCAGCGAGAAGTGATGCTTCGCAGTCAAGCTCAATCGCATGTCCGACTTGCGAAAGCGAAACGCCTGGCTGCTGAGCATGGCGCAGATCGCAGCAATTTCTCAGGTTCTCAAGGCGATGCACCCACCGACGCGGTATCTCGAGAAAAGTTGCTCAGGGCCACGCTGGTGCGACGAAACGCCTGAGGTCGGAATTAGGATTAGTTCTTTTATTTTGTACTGTGGTCACATGTACTTTTCTAAACTGCTACTAAAGTACTTATTGTCGGGGGTGATCGTGGACTAGAGGAATTAGAGGCCTGTTTTCCTACTCATATGTAGAGAATGAATGATGTGACACCACGGGATGTGCGGTCGAAGTCCGTATAGTCTAAGTGAGGACAATAAGGGGTATAAGTAGGATAGCTGATTAACAATGTAACAGATAGTTGGCGTGTCAACAGCGAAAGCGAATTAGATGCGATTAGCGTTCGAGATTATAGTGGTGGCTCGACGCCGAACGTGTGGAAATCGTGAAGGACGTTGGGAAGGGATCGTGCAAAAGCAATGTACAACAGGAACGCGTGGTCGGATACATCCATGTTAACTTGTCGTTAACGATTAGAACGATGCTGTGCTAGTTTTTTGTCATCGAACGGGCCGGAAGCAGGCCGCGGTGTGCGCGATTCCGGATGATCATCTTCGTGGAGAGAACGTCGTCGGTCGAAGAGGGTCGCAGACGAGGAGGCGTGAGCGTAAGGATGGGCTTCTGTACCCCGCGCGTGGCTAAGGGGGACGGAGGGGATGCTTCCGCCAGGAATGGGCGTCTGGTCCGGCGTATGGGGCACAGCATACCCGGGCGCGGGATGGGAATGATATGTACTGGGACGCGTTGACGGGGCTATGGAGGGTCGTGAAAAGGGCGAAAATGCAGGATCATCCCATTGTGGTTGAGGTTGCAGCGTAAATGGCGGAGGGATATTGATGGCCGGCTGATGCACGGGCGGTGACTCCTGCTGGGAGAAACGGCTGCGCTGTACGACAGCAGCGGAAGACGGTGTGCCTGTGGACACAATAGAGCTGATCGGAGCCAACGTCGGATTCCGGCCGCTTTCGCTTGCGCCAGATTGAAAAGCGGTGGAGTGCCGGGGTTCAGTAACAATAGGTGGAAGAATTATAGGGAATTCGCCATGCATTGGAGTCGTGTCATTAGACTGATACGAGCGTATGGGGCGCGTCGGTCTGGGAGTGAGACGGTACATTTCCAGCGAGTCGGTCGCGGTCGAGGGCCGCGATGCGGAACGCGAAAGGGATGTGTTGAAGGTAGGGTAGCCTCCAGGCGTTCTCGGAGATTGTTGAGAAACCATCGACGGAACTTCTCTCGGCAGTGGGTATTGCTCCCGAAACCCGGTGCTTGGTCCAGGAATACCAGGACCGGATAGTTGTGATAAGCTCATAGATCTGGCGTAGCGCTGAGATATTGAGTCTGGGTGGGTGAACGGTTCAGCACCAACGCTCGATGTTCCGCTCGGGCCTGCTACGGACCGCGACAGTTCGCCAATGGATGGGAGCGCAGAATGGCCACCTGAGCGGCCGCGTCCATAGCTAGAGGATCCGCTCGTGCCCACTTCACTCGACCCCATTCCTGAAGGAACGTTCGAGAAGGGGCCATACTGAGGAGGTCGTGTCAGAGGCGCAGCTGATTGTCCACGAGGTCGCCTCGCTTTTTGACGCTGGTTCTAAGGAAAGGGAAAGGCAGAGTAAGTTCAAGGACTCGCTGACTTCTAATGCGCAACTTGCCTGGAACCAGATCTGCAGAAGGGGATAGTGTGAGCACGATGCCGGACGAAAGACAATAAAGAGCGCTAACCTGCACTTTGCGAGCGCTCAGTCCGATAGAACGTCCCACCTCTTCGCGCATGGCCGTGGTAGGAAAGCGCGACTATGGTCAGGCAAGTATGCTGTTAGGACAAAGAGGCGCACGAACAAAGACTTGAGAACGTTACCTGCGCAAGCAATGCATGTAAAACGGCTGATTGGTGGGCAGTGGTCAAGGTTCGCGTTCTTTTCTTCTTCGGAGGAGGTTGCGCTGGTTCAGACGGCTCGGAATGCTGACTGGGTCCCGCCTCCATCTCCGTGTCGGCCATGTCTCCCTGCGAAGAAGAGGCGGAAGGACTTGAGCGCTCCGTAGCATGACTCCTCCTCTCCCGCTCCATGTCCTCGGTGCGTGGCTGAAGGTGGGCTCCTTCAGCAAAATGTGGGCCGAATGTGATGTTACTCTCGTCGGGCGAAGCTCCCTGGCTTTCGTGGGGTGTAGGAAGGGAAAGGAGCGTGCGTGTAGTAGATGTCGGAGGACGCGTATCGCTCCTGGGTTGGTCGGTCGGATTAGTAGAAGTTGATGAGCCTGTTCTTTGTGTATTCATAGCAGAGAGCGATTATAAGGCAGTAAATTATGCCAGATTAGAGGGAAAGAATAAGGCTTCGAAGGTGCTTAAGCCTTCGGAAGAGAAGTGATACAAGCCAAACCAGGGAGCTTCAGAACATCGGAGGAAAGTTCGCCAGACTCGGAGCAGGTCTGTACTATAAATTGTTGAAAGGGGCAACTGGGCCCCGATAGGCGGACGTCCATAATGGTTGAGGCTAGCGTAAGGAAGCAATAAACCAAATCAATTTATCGTCATGGATCGATAGAAATGACGCCCTGGGCCCGCTATGGACCTTGTCAACGCACTAATCCCCTTCCGTCGCCGAAACGCCTGAGTGTTCCTCGAATTACACCAGCGTTAGAGCCAATCACGTACTCGACGTCAACAGCCGGAGTGTCGCACCAGCTCAGACAGGTGCGCCCACAGCGACGAGGGGCTTGCCTTAGGCTCTGCAACCGCGCAGCAATCGCGGGACCTTGTCGCGATGTGTGCCGGGTCGCAGCGTTTCAACCATTTTCCGGCTTCTTCCCAATGTCCGTGCGATGATCGACTTCCTCACACCTCCTGAATTCGAGGAACCCTCGTATGGAAAGCCATCGACACATCCTTACGCTTACCGTCTTAGCCAAGATGCTCAAAAAGATCTGTTGCGAAGGGAGCCGGCGGGTGAGCAAGGTGTACGGTAGCACGTGATTTATTGAATCAGTAACGAGGATCGACTAGATCGCGATCGTCGCTACTAGTTGCTACCATGCATCTGCCGTCGACACAGTCGCAATTTGTCTGCAACTTGAACCATGCGACAACTATTTTCCTTAGAGCGTACTGCGACAGGTTGTACCGCGGACTTCATTCCTGCGCATAGACTCGGCATGATTAACCATGCAGAAAATGGGTAACTTGCTGATTTACACAGGTTAACATGGAGGTAACCAGATATTCAAGGCTCATCTACCAGCCTCTTCGCACGTCAAGCTGTGTACACGAGTCACAGTGATGGCCGAAAGAACTGCGTAGATTATCAGGAATACTCCTTATCACCGCGGATATTCCCGGCGAGCGCTAATGTCGAACCTACTAGTACCTCGCAAACAATCGCGCCCACAAACGATTCCCTCTGGAACCTTAGATGGAGAGAAAGATGGTTGACAAGCACATCCAGGTCTCCACCGAGGTACTGGGAGATAAGGCTTTCACGCTCGACAGAAACATGGTCTTCGGAGTTTCCATATTGTCCTCGGGATGGGTCGCAGCGAGCGCCGAAAATAACACGAAAGTAAACTTCATGAGCCTGGTTTCCTTTCGGCGGACGGGTGAAGAATGCCATGCCAACAAGCGAGACAATAAGTGGACCCGCCACGCATTATAACACCGGGTTCTCACTGTGACGTAAGTGTCAGCTGCGAATCGAACTCCACGAGTTAACAATACAGCAAGCACGCAACAATGGTGCACATGACTTCTCAGCACTGTGCGAGAGAGAAGCATCACAGTGTGAACGCTAGAGAGCACTCACATAGACTTCCCCTCCGGCTTTTAGAACCGGAACACGGGCTTGAGAGGACTCCGTTCACTTATCGTGTTCGACTTCAATTTCAGCGAAGGGTTGAGTCTCGAGCCTTGCGCGACGCGTTTAGCCTGGATGCAAGCACCCTAGATACAGGCAGCGCAAAAGGTCATGACATATGAAGCCGGCCTGTCGAGTTCACCATGCCAGCGAGTCCAGACAGTGCACACATGGTTTCATTTTACCAACAGCTGCGATACGAACGGAGCGACAGAGTGATCCCGCGTGAACTATTGAGTGCACAAAGCTAGGGAACGAAGAGTCAGATCAGCGCATGCTGACGACGACGAGGTACTCGAGCACTAGGATTCGCGAGCTGCATAGCGACAAGACAGCACTCATCAGCTCGTCGTGGCAGGACCCCCGCGAATCCACTGAGAGCTCCGATGCACCCATCCCCTAAAAATGGGCCGCCGGAGGCAAAATGTTAGATCTCCGACCCCCGAAAATGGCGAAAAAGACGTCGAAAGTTGGGTGCGAAACACCCCCGAAATGTGACCCTCCAACCTGAGGTTAGGTCCAGAACCCCCGAAAACTGAGGTTGGCTGGCGGATCTCTCAGGTTTCGGAGGATGGGCCTAAAATTTAGCCGTGTGTGGTGGTTTGGGAGGAAAATTTTTGTAATTTGGTTCACAAAAGCTTCGGTTTTGCACAGGAAGCGAAAAATTTGTTCCGCAGGCCGTCGAACGTAATTCTAGGTGGCCGAATGTTCGATCCCACATAACCCCGAAAATGACCGACCCGCCGCCAGGTTGTGTGCAAACCCCCGAAAATGGGTGGTTGGCCACCCCCGAGAAATGTCGTCGCCGGGATCGGAGCTCTTAGTTGATTCGCGGGGGTCCTGTCGTGGCCCGGACCGTGACCACATGCGAGGTAACATCTGTGACACTCGCGCTTGTCACAGCACGCGCGATCATGTCACGCAATGTGTTTCCTTCGCTCCACTCGATGGCCTCCACCACGCTGCCACTGTACACACTTTCGTCGAGCTGTCCAGTACGATGGACAGCAACGCAGGAGAAATCCATAAACAAAGATTACCCCTTCACTGATCTCGCAACCGAGACGCCGGGGGATTACGTCTCTCGCACTTACCTTCAGTTTCTGTGGTTACCAGAAGTGAGTCTTCCTAATCTTGTCAATCATGCCCAGTTTCTACGGCAGATCTTTTGGAGAGAGTGAAACTTTTTTGCTCGAATGCTGGCATGGTCGAACAGGCACAGAATCATGTGTGGAACATTTACTCTGGGTGGCATCGGATTTTCACAATCGTCTGCTGAATCTGTCGAGATACTGGAAGCTTAGGAGCACTCAGTATTATCTTACGCTATGGCTACACTACAGCAAATTCTGTTCGAACGATCTGGCAGCCCGACTGCTGGAATGTAGGTCCTCACACATTGAACGTCGTTCTCGTCGCGCCATTGAACGCGACTGTCACGTGGCGGTGACTGGTAGATGCACCAACCTCTTCGGTGAGCTCGCAGCCTCAGCTCAACTTCCCAAAAAAAGACTGATTGGACATCCCAGATGCCGAGCTTCAATCAGCGTTCACCTGAATTCATTCCCAGTTTGTTCCGTTTACGCGACATTTGCCCTAGTGAATGCTAGTCCATTTTGGGAGGCCTCAGAATCCTGTTGTACGAACGCAACTATATTCGTGCCCTGTTACCTTGTCCAGTCTGAGTTCTTGAAAACGATACGGACAGTGCTGACGACTATTTTGTAGTCAATCATGCCTTTGATGCATTTCATTCCCGCGCTCCTGCGCATTGTCTCACACCCCAAGTCTCCGTTGGACCCTGCACCGTCGTCTTCCCTTCCCTCGCTTCACACGCTCCTGCAGCCGCTACTGCTCACGCCACGTTCGTCCAGCGAGAAATACCAGTCTCACATCTGTCAAATCCTCGCAGACGATGGCGGCGCGGGAGACGCGGAGGAGACGATGATGTGGTACGCATTGCGGTACGAGAAGATGGACGACGAGAGGAGCGCAAAGCTGTCCGACGACCAGGCACCCGATGCGGACGAAGAGAAGTGGCGTCACACATGGCTCGGGGGGATGGAGCGGCGCGAGTGAGTTCCGACCCTTTTCATTAATGTTAGCGCTGACGATCAAATCGCTCGGAAGGGTGCAGATCCAGATCCTTCTGCACCTCCTGCTGCTGTCGCAGTCCGGTCCCTCACAACCGGGAGAAGTAGAACCTGTTCGGGCGGAAATTCCGGTCCAGCTGATGCTGTCCCCCAGCAAACGGAAGAGAAAACAGCGTGACCCGTCTCTTCGTCCACTCCCACTGGAGGAGGGCCTGGAGTTCTTCATGGACAAGCTATCCATGTGGCAGCTGATGGCCTCACTTGAGGAGGAAGATGCGAAGAGGCACGTCTACGGCAAAGGAAAACAGAGAGCCGTCGACGACAGGGACTGGATACAAGTCTTCTGCGAGGACATCGTCGAGCCTTTGTAAGTACGCCGAGCTGAATCGATCGACCGACTGACAACTGTTTCGTAACAGGTTTAAAGACAAACAGCCCGACTTGTGCGCATTATTACACACGAAGGTCTTCCAAGCCTCGGCGTTCTCGGACGACGCTGATTCGTTCACATTTTCACCATCTCCACCCTCCTCGCCTCGCCTGAAGCCCGCAGCGACGGCATCCTCCCAATCATCCCACGGCCGTAATCCTCCTCCGCAAGTCAAGACAAGCGACCGCCTGCGTTCACGATCGCTCTCTGTATCGCTGGAGCAGGAACGCTCGCGTTCGCGGTCAGCTAGTGTCGATGCCGCCGGCCTGCGCAAACGCATGTTCGCGCGCGAGGTGAGCATGTCGACAGTGTTCAAGGGAAAAAACAAGGACAGCAAAACTAAAGCATCTACCGCGAGAACGAGGGTCGGTCGTGCACCCCAGGAGAAACCTGCACCCGTGGTCAAGGAGAAGAGGAAGGGGCGAGAGTCAGCATTTGGCATGACTCTGGTTGCTGCAACGCCGACGAAGCCGAGGGTGAAAAGCCAGTCTCAGCGCGAAGCTGCGCTCGCGCAGCCCGCATTCTTACAACAGCGAGATCGTGCACGAGCACTGCGGCTTAAACCTTTGGCCGAAGGTCCGGTGGAAGGGGATGGCAGCAATGACCAGTGGATGCTGCCAAGCTCTCCAGATGTTTTGCTAATGGGCCCCGATGGCGACGACGATACATCCGTTCTCGGGAAGAGTGCTAAGGGAAGACGTGATGGGGCAGGTTCAAGAAGGATGGGTAGCCTTTTGGTCACCTCTACGCCAACCAAGAAGGCGCGTATCGGTATATGATAATATCGGCAATTCCGTTCGAGCTGTGTATTATATTCTCAAGTGGATGTTGGGAGTGCATAGAATCTACGGAGGGGCGGTGCTGTATAAAACTGGGCAGCTGTTAGTTCGGAGATATGTTTGAGAAGGGACAAATGTAGACACGCTGCAGTCACCTACGGAGGGATGAGAGGCTGTGTGATTGAACCGAAGTGGACTGCAGCCGCATGGCTCATTTCATTTACATTACCCCCGCCGAAGTCCAGACACACAAGCTATGAACTATACCACTTTTATGGATAGGTATGCAGAGTGCCGTTGCTGGATGGTAACTAAGGGGCAGTTATTCCCTGCGCCCCAACCTGCGGAACGGACAACGCGACAGATTATCGCGGATCGTACTAAACAGGTGCGTGACTACCTGAAATTTTACTACAGAGGGTGGTAAGTATAGAAATGCAGTCATGTACAGCCATCTGACAATACTCGCCTTATGCGGCATATCCCTACGGTCCCAGTTTGGGAGCGACTTGAGACCGCGGCAGTTTGGATACGTGGGACGGCCTTCACATTCGGCTGTGTAGTGTAAGTACTTAGCCATTGCTTTCGAGCTCATTCCAATGGGTTATGGACGTCGCATGGACACCTAGAAGGTACGAGCACAGCTGTGAGCGGGATCGGATTAGGGGTGTCCGCTGTATGGATCAACTTGAAGTTTTGAAGCTTCTCGACGTGACTTGAAGGTTAAGCTGTTGGATCGCACCGCTACCGGTCTAGTACGGCTGACAGCGCTACCAGAGCAGCTGACAGTACGCAGTTGATGGGCATGATGTACGAAGACAAAACTCCAATTGCCTGCGACGAACGAAGACGAAGGAAGGCGATAGCCATAAGGGTGCTCCTAATTCGTGTGTAGGGCATCAATCTGTTACAGAAACTTCAGTACACTGATCTGACGCAAACGTGTCATTTACCTGGCCGTTGAGAAAGTGGAGAACTGCGTCGGAACATCTGGATTCGATGGCAACAATCAGTTCAGCAATGACAGCGTCAGGAGAGGATCAACACTCACTTCACTTATAAACAAACAACATCCTCATCCATCTGTTGGCCCACGGGAATCGACTCCATCTTGAGCGGCTCCGACGATACTCCCTGGTCCTCAACGAGCTTCTCCTCTCCGGTTAAGTCCCCCTCCACCAGCGCCCCCTTCACCATCACAGCTATTGCCATTAGAGGTGCAACCCCTCGAAGTCTTCAAGTCGGGAGGGAGAACCAAGACGGAGTGAGGCGCCCATGTTTCCGACGATCCTTGTCGCGAATCTCAGGGTCTGTGCAGCAGTCGTCCCATTGCAGGGGAGGTCGGCGACGACATCGTGCTGTGGATCTGGTGCAGGTCTAGGATGAAACAAGAGATGATGTTAGAGATGAATATGCACAGTTACGTGAGCACGAGAGAGTTATGCTATTTGGTGTAAATGAGAGGCGGGGGCTTCACATTGAAATGATGTATGCGGAGGCCTGCCGCGGAAAAGGCGTGTCAACGGTAGGCAGAGTACATTGGTAGCCGAACGCACGCCGTAGTAGTCGAATAGGATTCGGGAAACGACGAAAGAAGGGACCTAGAAATGCAGCGTCACCTTGAATGCTTCGTCAAGAGTATATCAGCACACACGAAGTACAAAGTGCCTGTGCAAATTGCGGAAGAATGAGCTGACATGTTCGATTAATGGTACTTGCATCTACCGTTCTGCAATATGAGATTGGCCAGCGGAACTTTCACGTGTGCCGAGTTCACATTTCTCTTGACGCTATTGGTCTTTAGGTCTTCATCCAGGTTACCACAAGGACAACGATGTCGGCCACGACGCTGCTACCTCGTGTCGCAATGATGACTGTCGAAGGATCAGCACAGTCTGGTGGGTGACATGCCCGTTGTACACGATAAACAAAGCACACATCTGCAAATTAATCAGCAAAAGACTCGACTCGGAAGTGTGGATACGTACGTTAACGTTTTCCAAAGGGTGCCCAAGACGGGGATGGCGGCGACGAAATAGGATATGGTGGCATGGTTACCGAAACGTCACAAGTCAGTGCATGCTACATAGACTTCATCGGGATCAACGCTACCAGGTTTGTTGCAAAACACAACAAGCTCCAAAGGAACACTACTGCAGCAGGAAGCCGCACCCGACCTCCTACTGCATACACTCAGAGAGCCGAGAACGCTTCAGATCGGTGATGATTGTGATTGTGAGAGATGTCAAGCCGCAATCGAGACACATACTGACGTACCAGCTCAGACAATGAAAGCGCCTCGACATAGTCTTCAGCTAGTAGATACAATAGCTGTCAAGGCGAGAGAATGAGTCGCGCTCTATTTCTCCTGAATAAATGACCATACCTCTAGTAGATAGTGAGTAGACGAGCCTTTCACAGCAGTCGCACTTATGAGGTGTGCACTTCACGAATGTAGCAATAGCACCAAGCCAACGGTCTTTACGAAGCTGAGAAAACGGTTCGACGGAAACAAATCATCGCTCCGGATGTTTTCAAGTGCGTCTCTGGATGTAGTCAATCTCATTAGGAAAGGTTACTGCATATTCCGGAAGCAGGAAAGCTAGTGTAGATATTCATCAGCATTGACTCAACGTATAAATGCAGAAGAATTACCTGCGGATGCTATGATGCAGAGGGCGAATGCATGAACAGTCAAGCATCACGAAAAAAAAAAACTGAGATGCAAAAGGTATGTGAGCCTCATCGACCAGCCGTGCTTCACCGTCAACCGCCAACATCAGGGAAATTAAAAGGAAGAGTTCCGAAACTTTAGACAGACAAGCTTAGTTCCAACGAGAATCAAAGAGCAAATCGGACACAGTCGTGACTAACGCCCATTCCCCAATCTTCTAGCCCGCAAGTCCAAGGAGAGCTGTCCGAGTATCCGGGCGCGTGTTGTGGTCTCAGGTTAGACCACATCAGCGACAACTTTAATTACTGAGGAACGCACCGGTGCCGCTGGCGTCCTAGCTCTATCCATTGGCCTGTCAACTCGGATTGGCGGTGCCGTGGTCGGTGCAAGCCTGTTCGTATACGCAGAGATAGATCCGAGGAAAAGGGCTTGCGTCGTGGCGGTGCGTATTCACTGCGGTGATCCAAAGAAACTAATCTATTGACAAGGCGGCTGTGGAGTATGATAGTGTGGCTCTGAGACTGCGACCTAGTCTTCCATGACACATGTTTCGGTCCACATCGATGTCTTCGAAGCCTCGCCATTGCCGCCGGGGCACTGCAGAGTTCGAGCACGTCCAGCGTGACCGTCCATTCGCTTGAGCGCAGAAAAGCAAGGCCGATTGGAGAGCGAGGAGTACTGCCCGCACTGGCTCGCGGAGGGTGTCGATGACATAGCCGGAGAGGCGCAACGCGCTTTGGACCGCGGTCGCGTTGACCAGCTTGCAGCGTCCGCTCGGACTTTGGCGACTTCGATGTCTCTGTGGAACGCGCAATATTTACGCGGCTGTCAGCCGCGTTGTGACTCGGCGTGCTCAGCCTCTGCGACTCATCCCATGGGCAGGGCCAGTGGTCGTGCCCTATACATTCGACACTCATCGCAAGGCCTCCGCGTGTCCGAGGCACGATCACGACAAGCACTGCTGTGTCTGCCATGCTCAAGCGCTCACCACTGGTATGTGGCTCCAGAACGACAGGTATGAACCTTATAGCACCTACGGGCGCGTGCAGTGGAACTCCATGGTACAAACCCGTGTCCTCCACGCGCTCCGAGCGAGCACAGGAAACAACGTGCTGCCGTGCGGTTGCTTATAACTAACTGAATATCGGTACAGTTGGTGTAGTTCCTCTCTATTCTCTATCATCCTCCTATCTCTCACTCGCGATTCACCCGAAACAATCACTATGAGGTGAGCATATATAATGTGATCGATGTTGACACATTACTGACTTGAATCGCTCATCCAGCACAACAGTATACCTCACTGGTAAGTGTAATATTAGTACTTGGGCCACAGCGGTTGCTGAATTCCACTTCACTTGCATGTAGGTATCACAATTCAATTCCCCGATGGCGTGCAGCCTGAGTTGCCTGACAATGCACAACTCTACCTCTCTGTCTTGGTGAATGGAGACGAAATCAAGAAGACTGGATACTGCATGAAAACTGCAGTGTCATCCTGGAAGCTGACTGGGGCAATCAAACTGTTTGTCTCATATTCTACGTTCTCCACCAGTGAACCAGTCATCTAATTATGGCCCCATAGGTCCTCTGAAGCCCTGAACTGCATGCTGGTAGTATCATTCAAGGTTCCAGATGATGAAAGCATGCAGTTGGGCTTCATGGAACTCAGTGGTGATGAACTACTGGCAAAGGCTTTGGATGAAGGCCAACGTATGCACTGAAATTTTTGTTCTCTGATTTTGGACAACCACACTGATGTTATCTTCAAAGCCTTTGCTAAAGCATTCACAATGCTGGAGGATGGTCCACATTGTGCTATTTCAGCATCATGCTTTATTGTTCCTCCAGATGGGTCACACTTTTTGGCTGAGATCACTGGCCAAGGTATGTATATGTGCTTGTTGGATACAGATAATGTGCTCATGTTGCTGCAGAGCTTGAAGATCTAACAAGGCAGAATCTTGATGAGATGTATGCAGCTGCCATGCAGGCTGTGGCTGATGCTGAACCTGCTGCAAAACCTTTAATTCTGTTACATTTTGTGCAGATATTCTTCAACTTGTACAAGAAGTCTCAAAGTAAAGATGATCTATCCAGAGCTATCTCTTTACACTATGATTTTGTCAACACTGTCTCAAAGGATGATGCAAACTGGGAGACAGCTGTGCACAATCTTGCAAAGCTTCTTCTCAACCACATAAAGCAATTTCCAACAGCTTCAGATATTGGCAAATCTATCTCAATGCTCCATGATGTTCTGCACATCATTCCTGATAACAATCCATATAAACATCAGTATCTGCATGCCTTTGGCATTTTTCTGAGAACTCGTTTCAAGGATCATAGTGATTTTGCAGACCTTCAGACGGCAATCTTCTTGCATAACCATGCATTACAACTTATTCCTGCTCACCATGAAGATAGACCTGCATGTCTTACTAGTCTGGGGGTCTTCCTATGTGATCGCTTTGACCAACTAGGAGATCTAAGCGATCTTGAGCTAACAATCAAAGTACAGCAAGAAGCAGTGCAACTTACTCCAGATGGTCATCCAGACAAGCCTTTTAGGATGAATAACCTTGGAAATTTTTTTCAAAGACACTTTGAGCACTTGGGAAAACTCAGTGACCTTGAGGAAGCCATTGCACTGCAGCAAGAGGCAGTGCAACTCACTCCAGATGGTCATCCAAATAAGCCTGCTTGGCTGAGCAATCTTGGACTTTCCTTCCTGAGGCACTTTGAGAGATTGGGAGAACTCAGTGACCTTAAGAAATCCATTACACTACAGCAAGAGGCAGTGCGACTCACTCCAGATGGTCATCCAGACAAACCTTTTTGGTTAAACAATCTTGGAAGTTTCTGTATGACACAGTTTAAGAGACTGGGAGAACTCAGTGACCTCGAGAAAGCCATTACACTGCAGCAAAAGGCAGTGCAACTCACTCCAGATGGTCATCCAGACAAGCCTTCTAGGTTGAACAATCTTGGAAATTCCATTTTGACACAGTTTGAGAGACTAGGAGAGCTCAGTAACCTGGAGGAAGCTATTTCACTGCAGCAAAAGGCAGTGCAACTCACTCCAGATGGTCATCCAAGCAAGCCATTTACATTGAACAATCTTGGAAATTCCATCTTAACACAGTTTGAGAGACTGGGGGAACTCAGTGACCTTGAAAAAGCCATTACACTTCAGCAAGAGGCAGTGCAACTTACTCCAAATGGTCATCCAAACAAGCCTACTTGGTTGAGCAATCTTGGACTTTCCTTCTTGAGGCATTTTGAGAGACTGGGAAAACTCCGTGACCTTAAGAAATCTATTACACTACAGCAAGAGGCATTGCGACTCACTCCAGATAGTCATTTAAACAAGCCTTCTTGGTTGAACAATCTTGGAAATTCCTTCAAGACACAGTTTGAGAGACTGGGAGAACTCAGTGATCTTAAGAAAGCCATTGCACTGCAGCAAGAGGCAGTGCAACTCACTCCAAATGGCAATCCAAATAAGCCTTCTCGGTTAAACAACCTTGGAAATTCTTTCTTCATACAGTTTAAGAGACTAGGCAAACTTAGTGACCTTGAGAAAGCCATTACACTGCAGCAAGAAGTAGTGCAACTCGCCTCAGATGGTCATCCAAACAAACCGTCCTGGTTAAATAACCTTGGAAATCTCTTCTTGACACAATTTGAGCATTTGGATGAACTCAGTCCTTCTGAGAGAGTTATTATAATGCAGTCAGCCATGTCACATTATCAATCTGCTGCATATACCATGGGTCCACCATCAGTTAAATTTAAATCTGCTTCACAATGGGCATACTGTGCTCAAATCCTCAAGCATCCATCATTACTTGAAGCATATACAGTTGGTGTTGGCCTCTTACCTCAGGTAGCTTGGCTGGGACTTAAAATGGAAGGCCGTTATCATGAGCTAAAAAATGCAGGACAAGTAATCAGGGACGCAGCAGCAGCAGCTATTGAGTCAGAGAACTACAATCTTGCTATTGAATGGCTTGAACAGGGACGTTCAGTTGTTTGGAACCAGGTTTTGCAACTCCGCACACCTGTTGATAATTTATCAGCAGCATATCCTGAGATTTCTCAGCAACTCCAGCAGCTATCAATCAAACTCGAGCAGGGAAGCACTGCTCAAGCTAGATATAATACTGATACAGGCAATGCTTTGTTTCTAGAAAATGCTGGTCAGCACTATCGCCGACTAGTGCAGGAGCGAGAAAATCTTATTCAGCAGATTCATGCACTTCCTGGCTTTGAGACATTCTTATTGCCCAAAACACTGTCACAGCTCACATCAAGTATTTGTTGTGGTCCTGTGGTTATCTTGAATGCAAGCAAATATAGATGTGATGCATTAGTGATTCAACCTCACTCAAATCAGGTTCTTCATATTTCTCTTGACTGTACCATTAAAGATGCCAACAATATGCAAAGCATTCTTGATCGTATGTGCAAAGGGGGTCGCATTCCATCTCAGAGAGCATCAGGTCCTTCTTCCAATGCACCAGACATTAATGCAATATTTGAAAGTCTGCTCTCTCAACTGTGGTTATGTGTGGTCAAGCCAGTACTAGATGCACTGAAAATTCTAGTATGTTCATTTTCATATAATTTATCTCAGGTACATCTTATTGATAGGTATCTTTATAGACTCCATCACCTGTTAATCAACTTCAACATCTGTGGTGGTGCCCAACTGGGCCATTTGCATTTCTGCCTATCCATGCTGCAGGCATATATAGTGACAATCAACCTGGCACAAAGCTGTCAGACTTTGTAATCTCCTCATACACTCCAACCATCAGTTCTCTCACAAAGTCTGCACCTTCTGAGACACCAGCACCATTTCATATGTTGACTGTGGCTCAGCCTAATGCAACAGGACAATCAGTCATTCTGGGCACACTAGAAGAAGTCAATCAGATCTCCAAACTTGCTAAAGGCTACACAGTTCTATCTCTGCAAGAGTCTGATGCAACTGTGACAAATGTATCTGAGGGAATGCAACTCTCAAGTTGGGCACATTTTGCATGCCATGGGGTGCAGAATAAGGACAAGCCACTCAAAAGTGCACTGCTACTTGCTGGAGAAGCTCACTTGGGGCTGGAAGAGATCATCAAGTTGTCTCTTCCTCATGCTGAGTTTGCATTTCTCTCAGCATGCATGACTGCTACTGGAGACCAACAGCTTTCAGAGGAGGCAGTTCATCTGGCAGCAGGAATGCTGCTTGCAGGTTATCGAGGGGTAATTGCAACAATGTGGTCTATCAAAGATACAACTGCACCACATGTTGCAGAGGATGTGTATGCACACCTTTTCAAGAACAAGGACCCCTCAATACGACCAGACAGTACTGAGGCTGCATATGCATTGCATAATGCCATTCAGAATCTTCATGAGAGGCTTGGTGCACATAAAGATTATATGACCTGGGTGCCATATGTTCACTTTGGTATATAGCTGTAGAGCAATTCATTATACACATGTATCTCTTTCTAGTATGGATTGGCATTGTTGTATACGTACCTAATAGACATTGAATTCACAGATTCATAGACATCAGCAAAACAGTTGTGATTTGTGCATTGCATGACTGTCTGAAATACTGAACAATGGGTGAGAGATAAAGATCACACCACCTGGATGGTGCAAGTTCACATAAGGCTATGAGTACTCTGCTGTAAATGGTTGCAAGATGAATACATCCGATGGTGGAAGGCAGGCACAAGTGGATGCGAATACCATTACAGAACACAATACCAAGTCGGGAGGCACTCACCTGCAGCACAGACGGGGCACTGTGATCCTGGACGCAGTAGCAGACTCCGAGCGCCGCAGAGATCTCACGACATACGCGCGTGTACGACGCGAGGTGGATCATGATGCCCGTTCCCATATCTTCTGGTCTGCAGGTTCAAGGATAGCCTGCCATACGGAGCGCGAAGCCTAACAGACCGCAACTCGCTCGAATCATCAAGATGTCTCTCTTGCAGGCACTGTCCTTCGTCTCCGCCTGTAAGACCGGCAGACATCGGAGAAGGTAGTGCATCTTGTAGCGGGAATGGCCATCGCGGTATCTGGACGGTACGCTGGACGACACGCGACGCAGGGGATGCACATCTCACGCTGGACGTAGTTTGCACGCCACGGAAAGGAGAAGCGGCTGAAGCTGTTGGGGGCGTGCTCGTGCTGGCCAACCGCGCGCGCCTTGAATTCGCAGAAATCATCAAGTTGTCCCTCAAGCGCGCCGCACTGGGCTTCCTGTCTCCCCCAAAATCTCAATGGGTAACCCACCGGCTGCAGTGTACCTCGCAGCGAGGGTGTTGTTCTCTAGCTACCGCAGGTCTGGCGGAGCGGCCGCGCGGCCGCGTCACAGGCGGCAGAGGACGCGTACGCCCACTTCTGAATTCACGACGCGGAGATCAGCCCGATGGCGGAAGCGGTGTGAACATTGCACGATACTGTCCGAAACCTGAGCGAGAGGGTGGAATGTCAAGGATACACCACCTGGGTGCGGTATCCTTACGTCGGGCGCGGTCCAGCACTCTGCTATAAATGGTTGCACGACGGATATATGCGAGTTGCGAAGGCCGCGTACTTTTACTGCGTTCTCGAGTAGTAGCTTCGACGTGATCATCGAAAAGTTACATGTTCGAGGCATGACGGACTAGTCGAATTGCGACGTCGGACAATGATCTGAAAAAAGTAAATAATGTTGTCAATTAAGGGAATGCAGGACGACATACCGGGCCGCGGTGGCGAGGAGCGCGAGTCTTAGCCGCGATTAAATGTGCAGGTCGAGGCTCCATTCCCCACCGTAAGCTCCTGGAGGCAGTCGCGGTGATTTGGGCTACTTCCGGCTGACAGCTGAAAACCTTACGGGTTCACATTCGCGAATGCGTAGAATCGCCGCGGCATTGAACGAGAAATCCGCACATAAAGCCAGACGAAATGGAGGAGCAGATGTAGGTATGGAAATCGAACCTGAAGCCTGGCAAAAATAACAGTTATTCAACGGTGGGCGAGTAGGTTGCTGACTCACGCGGCTCTGGATGTAAAGATGCAGGTGACTTCTAGAGTTTTCACGATGTATTGATGAATGTTGATGCTGGAGGTCGACGAGAACGTCTCGGAGTAATGCACGTTCTCCTCCGGGGAGCATCGGTCCTTGTGGACAATGCTGATAGCCTGCCAGGAAAGTCAGCCAGTAATCGAGCGTGCGCCGCATTACTCGCGCTATACGGATGGAGGTAGAGCATACCGGCAGGAATAGTGGTGCATGCGTGGACGTACTTCCCGGCGAATTTCCTCCAGGAAAGCACTCCGAGAACAGGTTGCGGGAACTCCCTCTTCCGCATATTCTCTGCCGCCAATCACTTGCAATGCATGGGACGAGTATTTTGCGCATCCCCGAAGGATGATCGTCCGCGTCGGAAGTAGCGAGCCTGAACGTTCTCAAGGTCGGGGATAGGCACATCCGGATTGTCGATCCTGCAAACGGGGCACCCGGAGCCAGGAGCATGCATTGTAGAGAGTCGACGAGCAGTGATTAGCCAAGGCAATTGCTAGAACAAGACGCAGCGCACCACGTCATTCCACTTCCATCCGGAAGATGATGAGGGAATGGTTTGAGGAGAAAGTCCACTGAGCACGAAACTGCTCCAGAAGATTGCAGGCAGCTGGCACTTGGGTCGTACTACGTAGTCGCACACATCTTAAAAACGCAGTCGACAGAGAGTGCGACGGTGGACAAGTGACGACTGCTGGATCCACCCAGGATCGTGATCGAAGGAGGCCCGGGGAATGCTGCGAGGGACAGCGAGGACTATGAGGCGTTGAGGAAGGGAGCTGAGATGGCAGACGTACGCATGCGAGAGTCTAGACCCTCCAGCAACGCGTCTCGTCACGACGCGTCACACATTCAAGTTATCACTGCCACCCTTTCAGATGACTCCTGGAAGTGTTGTATCGCCATCCAGAGACTACCAGATCTTGACCGGCGACTGCAGTCCATGACGACAAGTCGAATCGGCGTTCCGAGCGCAGCGAGTGTGGTGAGAGTCAGTGTCGAATTTTCTTCATCATCTATCGTTGGCTGATCGGGACGTACTCACGGCCCTTGCAATTCCTCGGCTCATGCCAATTTCCCCGGGCTATCGCTTGAACTAGTGGGTCGACCGTTGTACAGTTGCTGCCTGACTCTCCTGCAACTGCGCAAGACCAGAAGACGTTCTAGTGCTGACGCTGGCGCCTCACCAACGACGGTCCCCTCACATGTGCCGGACGAGGCAAAGGCAACACTCAGTCTACGACGACGGGGAGGTTCTTACCCCGACCGAAGCTCGTTTAATCGCAATGCTCAAGTGCGAAGTTGATTGCGGTTTCTGCGGCTCTCTGGAGGCACCACAGCAGGAACGACATTATACACTACATGAAGTACATATGGTATGGAAATCCAATTCGAAATGCAGATGAAAATTTGGCGCACGTTGGTTTCCCCGCCGGTGACAAGCGCAGGCGGGTACTTATCCCGAGGGCCACGAAAAGGCCTGCGCCAGGACCGACGAGCGAAAGCGGACGTCGGCCCGTACCTCGGGACGCACCTTATATGCCCTCGAGCTGACTCCCGCTCCACCCTATCCGTTCGTCGTCTTCTTCCTGTCGTCGTGTCGTTCGGCTGTTGTTTCCTTTTCTTCTTCGTCAAATGCCTCCACTGCTCTCATTTTTGACTTGTCTCTTCATCACCTCTACTGCTCTCATTTGTTTTTTTATCGTCATTCTGCTTGATTGAGGTGCCGGCCCCATGTTCTTCGTCATTTACCTCTGCTGCTTTCGTTTTTTTCTTCGTCTCCGTCGTATGCCTCTTCGCCCGCCGGAGGCTTCGGTGCTGCTGTCCTTGTTCTTGAATACGTCTTGAGGCCTGTGCTGAAAACGAGAATGTTCAGAACATCAGAACTGTCAGTGTCGTCGTGCTTGAGCATGTTAGCATTCTTGTCGAGACACTCTTGCTCCGCTTTCGTAAGTCACAGAAGCTGAATCACACACCGATCGTTTGATCGTTCTAACTTCTCGTGGTTGAGTTCACTCTCTTAGTGTGATGGCCTACGCCTACGAGCCAGTCAGCATGTCAAGCATAACTACCCCAGTAAGTAGACACACCTCAAATCTGTGTTGGTGCAGTTGTCATTCAAGATAGCATATTCGCAATATAAGCAACACGATTGTCAGTCGCAGTTGATGGTATACGAAGGAGGCCATACCTTACTGGCCATATGTGTGCGTAGCACGTGGACACTGCACCAAGAGAGCAAACTTTGGTAGGTGGCGTTCAATGAATAGAGTCCCGACTGAGAAGGACTCACCATCTTACATCCAGCGCGTGCCACAAAAGTCTCAAACCGAAGGCTATGACTCAGCTTTTTCGTCTCGTGTTCTTGCCGCACTACACGGCTTCGCTCACTCTCACATTATGTTGGCCACTTGATCGCTTCCAGGCCATGTCGCCGTTGTTGTTGATGTCACACTCTTACGTTTATAGTCTGTGTACGTCGACAGATCAGCCACATGATTGTACGGCGATGAATACCAAGGAGTGAACATACCTGTCTTACTCTGATGTGGTGTGGCGTAGCCATAGACGGCAGCGTGCATGTCGAGACGATTGTTAGCAAGCATCCATGGCAGATAAAGGTCAGACGTACCTCAATGGACATCTGTGCATCGCACACTCACGAGTGCGGACTGACTGGCAAGGACAATTCAAGGTCGTGACTAATGCTCAACGTATACCACAGAGGACAGAAGGACGTACCTTGAAAAGGTCAAGGGTCACTCGGGGGGCCGACTCATTGCTCTGTTGTGGAGTCTTGGTTGTATCTCACATGTTTCTCAGTGTAAACTGAATATTCTTAGGGCTCACACAGTTTCGCGGTCGAACTTCTCCTGCGTAGTAGTGATCTTGCTCTTGATGTCACACTCTGGCTCTTATGGCCTGTATGTGCGCATCAGTGAGTGAGCTTCTGACAACGACGCGATGTACGTCTTACAATGAACGTACCTTCCTAGGTCTAGCGTGGCGCAGGTCAACAACGATGGCGAGTGGATGAATAGAGGATGATCAAAGTTCGTGGGTGGCATCCGCGGCGAGGACGTGCCTTGGTGGTCGTCTACCGGGGCGACAACGTCGAAGTGAATGAAGGAGAGAGTGGAGGAAGATCGTGTGAGGAAGGGAAGAGATAGATCAAGGTGAGTAGCGATCGACGGAGAAGGATGGAAGGGAGAACTTGAAGGACAAGGTGTGCTTAAACAATCCGTGCCACCACTCGGGCTTTTATACGCCCAGGTGTGGCCGCCACCATTTCCACTTCATAGGCGCTCGCGGTAGACCAAACCTCGTGTTGTGGTCCAAACCTCGCGTTGTGGCTCGAACTGCGTGTTGCTGTTCACGATCATCCTGCAGGTCTGCGCCACATTCCTGCTGGCACCGTTTGATCTGTGGTCCATTCCATGGGCATCCCATGCCACCCATCGCCCTGTTGGATAGCCAATTGGACGATGTGGATGGCGCTGTTCGTGAGCGTCTGTCAGTTCATTCTGATCCCACTTACTACTTTGTCGCTCGGATTCACTGCTTTGCCGAAGGTCTATATGTCGTTCCAGATTGAAGCTGCTGCTACTATATCAGTACGTTCTGTTACATAACACTGTCGCACAGTTAGTGGACACTTTTTCCCAGCACACGCATATGCTTCTCTGGGATGAGATCTTGGGAGCTTGTCCCGGAAGTCCCATGCCGAGCGTTGAGACCCAGGGCCCTGTCGAGAAACACTTCTAGATTAGGTTCCGGTGCTATGTTATCTTTGTCTCTGTCTACGATTCTTCGAAGCTTATTCAAGGCAGGCGCTGAGGGGCGGAGTCGTGCACAGGTACCAGAAAGTCATCCACCCGGATACCGCGGACTGAGGTGCTATGCGAACTGCCCATGCTCCATCTACGGGCTTGCGGAGTATATTTTAAGGGGATGCCTAACTGTGGTCGCTGGTGGGCCAATGAGGAGGCTATCTGCGCAAAGGCCATGGAGCGGAAATGAAATGTATATGAAGGTACCAGAACGACAACCCTTATCAATCATTGTGGTTCAACGGCGCGCTTTCAGTCCGGCTCATCAAGGATGTCCATCGATTGCTGTTCGGTCGTGCACTGGCGACGAGAACCCGGATACTAAGGTTCCAAGGAATGCCCATCACAGGGTCCTTTCCGCTACCACTGGGAACATCGCCTAGCATGGTGTACGTTCACATTGTAGTTCGGATATGTTGGAGGTGCCTTATGCATGATGTGAACTCGTGGAAACTCGAGCGCTGTGCTGTCAAACTGCACTCTCTACTTGAATAGTGCTGCAGTGCTGCAAGACTAGTGGGGCATTCCGTTCTGCTTCTATAGCATTGAATTGCTGTAAGTGTAGCGCGGCTAGCAAACGCTCTCCTCCAAATTCACGCACTTCAATATTGATCAAACTCTGTTGAAGACGAGGTAGAGAGGAGCCCTCCACGAACTGTATACGCCCAAAAATTGGCATCGAGGACTTCTAGATACAGAAAGAGCCCGAGGTAGGTAGAAAACGTATTACGCCGGTGAAAAGAATCCTTTAATTGAACACTCACGGTCAAAATCTGGACAAAAGTCCATAAGCTAAATGGTACACGGAATACATTGGAGGAGTCGCCCGGGAGAGAACTCGCTACAGAATGATACAACTTTCATGACATTTGTGCCAATACGAGAGGACAAGCCACCGTCCGAAGCTCCACGCAGGTCTAGAGACCTGTCATCTGTCTTCAATGACACAAGGCGGAACAGAGGACAGAAGCTGCGGTTCCCGTTCTCGCTGACTTTCGACTTAAAGTCCCCCGTGGTCGCATTGTGGATCCACTCGAGGCAGTTATCAGCTGCTCCAACTTCGGTGCCGGAACGCTTCTCATGTAGTCCGATCACGACGTCCCGGGCCCTCATGCCGGGAGAGGATAGATAGCGGGCGTAAGACGAGTAGCGATGGGCTTCAGACACAATGACGTGATCGCGCATCGTGTCCCGTTCGAGGACTCGTCGCACGCAGCCGGGTCGATCAATGCCATTATCGTCTCATTTTGCATGGCAAGGACAGCACCACCGCTCGAGGGAAAGTGGTGTTCGACTTAAATTCTGCAGCTTGCGAGTGCGGGAGTCGAGCTGCATTGGAACCGAGTGCAAGTTAGCTGCAGAATACTGTATTCATAGCTGAAAGGGAAATACCTCGCCACATCGTGAGTCCTGTCCGGTTCCCCTGCATTCTGAGACACCAGCCAGGTCACTCCCTCCAATGCATCACCTCCGTATTCTGCTGGTTGAGGAACATCGTATCTTTCGGCGAGCCCATCCTCGTAGATATTCCCTTCCTTCACAAAGATACCTCCCCTGCCACGCGAGAAAGGCCAGCTTGAGCTAGGGGCAGTGATGTGCCCCCAATCTCCTACTTCTACCTCCGGGTTCCAATTGGAATACTTGGTTGACGCGCGATATAAGAGCTCGACGTACTTGCGCTCACTCTTGGACGTTGAATATCCTTGCATGTTGCTGTGGGGTCTTGAGCGAGGTACGGTGCTTGAAGTATGGAGTACGAATGATGAGTCTGGGGGTATTTAGACTCCAAGAAAGTACCACAACACACCTCAAAGTGCTGAGCCATATACGACTACTGATGGTAACTTGCGCGGCGTGACATTGACTGGCAGTTAGAAGACTGACTGGGAGGTGCGAGAGATCCACTGGGAAGTTCAATTAGCTGCGCAAAACCACAAGTGGGCCATCACCCCACGCTTCAATGCACCACCCAGCGATAGAGTGACGAGCACGTGTGCCGTCGAATGCACAGCCCAGTGGACATGAAGTGGAACTGGAGAACTTCTACACGCATTATGAATTCCGCGGTGCCAATCGAGAAGGAGAGCTGCAAAGTCAAGGAACACCTGATTCTCGGTACAGTTTCCATTGTACGGGGGCTTAGACCGATTATATACGATTCCGAGAGACTCACCATGAGAGCAAGCAAGGATTTTTGGCTTTGTAGAGTTCGGGCTGGGAATTACATCAAGCTTAAGTGCATTATCGCGTGATTGACACAAGGATTTGCCAGATATCTACTATGAAGTTTGCCTGGAGAGGGGTAGGTATTCCAAGCTCGGAGAGTGTGGCACCAGAAATCAAGCTCTAGGTATTGTGTTGCTCCTCTATAAGTCAGCAGGACACTAGTAGTATGGTTGAAACAATGTTGACATATGTATACCAGAGCAGCATTTGCACCCAACAAGATGATGCGAAGATGTTCGTTATAACAGGAGTCATATGGAAATACCACAAACTACACCTAGACGCGTCCATGGTCCAGTCGAAGATTGAGAGTGAAAAACACCGGCACAGATATTATGCAATCAATAGAACGGCAATCTTCTGCAAGGCCGACAGACATGTAAACGCTGTCGCTCACTCACTGAATGGAAGATGAGTAGACACGACATTGAGAGGTACTCAATCACTTGCCTGAGAGCCGCTCACTCTTCCGCGATGTCATTCTCCACACAGTCCTCCTCATCAGACCAAGGAAGCTCCGCATCAGGAAGAGGTGGTACAGGCCCGTCCGAAGCTCCACGCAGTCCAACGGATACATCACTATCCTTCAGCGACACCAGTCGAAAAAGCGGGCAGAAATCCCGGCTCCCGTTCAAGCTAACCTTCGACTTGAAGTTCCCCGTCGTAGCGCTGTGTACCCACTCGAGATGGGCGTGCGCTGCTGCAATACCCGGGATGGCAGGCTCCGCGCTCAGTCCGATGACGACGTCCTTGGTGCCACGGCTGGAGAGGTAACGTGCGTAGGAAGAGCAGTGGTGGACCTCGGAGACGATAACGCAGTCATGCATCCGCTCCTCATCTAGTAGGCGTCTCAGTTTGCCGGGCGGGTCGATTCGTGAGATGGAGTCATTCTGCATCGCAAGGATGGCTCCGCCGTTCGAGCTGAAGTGATATCTGGCCTTCACATCGTAGTGTGCAAGTGCAGGTGTTTGGCTGCATGGGAGATAAGAAACCGAAAAAGACAAGGACGAGAAGAGGCACGCACCTCGCTGCTTCGGCGGAGACATTCCATGCACGCGTGTGCTTGGAGACAACCCAGGACACACCGTCAGCTGCTTCTGCTCCATAAACAATCGGCTCGGGAATGTCATATTCCTCAGCAATCCCGTCCTTGTAGATGTTCCCCTCCTTCAGGAAGATCCCTCCTCTACTTCTCCGGGGAAGCCACTTTCCGGTACGCCCGTCAATAATGCGTCCCCAATCTCCAGCCTCCACAGTAACTTCTGGATCCCAGTTGGGATACTTGTTCGATGCGCGGTGGATAAGCGTGGTGTACCTGCGCTCACTATTGGATGACATGATCTCCTTCAGAAGGTAGTTCCGCACTGTTGAGGGGAAGTGGAGCGTTTGGGAGGAGCCTATGTAAATACAGGCCTACTGTGTTGCGGCTGCTTGAGACACGAGGCATACCTACTGGATGTGGACGTGCGACGATCGCTGGTGAAGGCTATGTCGACTCTGAGAACTACATGGTCGCGGCCGACATAGCTGATGTGGCAGTCCATACACACCGCTATCGGCTACGACATGAACTACGCAGAGTAGACGCCGAGGTTATGAATGATTCGAAGTGTTGCGAGCAGTCCAATTGAAGCGTGGTTGATTTGCGCGGCTCTGCAACTCAACGTTCAATGGGTTTTCCACAGATGAATACGCGTGAGCTAACTCCCTGTAGTTGGGCGCGGCTTACTTGGAAAAAGAGGTAGAGAGCGCCAGATGCACATTAGCTCTGTATGTATTGTCGACGGGTCAAACCTGCACGGGGGAAGAGCTGTGTAGCACACCTGGAATTTGAGAACCGCGAAGTGTCAACCACAGCAATGCCTCTCTCTCTCTCTCTCTCTCTCTCTGATGTCTGCGAGTATAGTACGTATTGTCCACGTTATCCGACTTCCATCCTCATGTTCTCGCATAGCATTGGCTTAGGCAACCTTTGCAGATGGCGGTAGGTTCATTTCTCGCGAAGTCGGGATGCTAATTGAGTACACGGAGACTGTAGTGGGACCTCTATTGGGCATAGTGGAAGGTAAACAGAATGCGCAGGAATGTGAAATTACTTGTACAGAGCTGTTGAGCGTCAACAGACGGCCCATGTAGGAGATGCGTTTCTGTCAGATTGAAAACACGCCTGATCATCGTGGTGATCACAAGCCTCGAAGATCAACGTATTAAAATACCAAAGGGTATCGTTGAGGTGAATGCAGCTGAAATATAGCGACACGTTTCGCAATACCATTGAAGGTTCTCAATGCGATACTGATAGTATGCATCACATGCAAGCCCGGACAGTGGGAAAAAGAGCCCACATACCTTCGTTAACTGACAAAAGACATAGAACGGTAGTTATCCGAGTCAATTCGTATGTGTTGAGAGATTTAAATAAACATGAATTGGTTGCAAGGAGGACGTAGTTGTGACGCTCACATGAAAGGTGTCACACCGTGACTACGCAACTCCCTCGGAGAGCTCGGAGCCGAACCGTCGACAAAGACTATCAAGAATATATATCCAATACTCGCGCTGCAAGTGTTACTTTTCTACTCGGCGACAGGTGGATTGCGACAGGGTCCTAACAAGCAGAGCACGAAGAGACTCAAACCTAGTAACCTGGTCCTTCTGCACCAACTTGGCACCAATGCATCTCTCAATGCAATTACATGCCAGTGAGTGCAGTCTATGCTTGACATTGGCATTTTACGAGGCCTACAAAGGTTATAATATGAAATCAGATACAATGCGGACGCAAGACGGAGTTTAGCCCGGGGGCAAGCAAATGCCATTTTGATTCTTCCTCGGCCGATCCTGTCCAATATATTGGCATAAAGTGCGACGACAACGAATGGGCAACATCTGAGAGCTCACCGCTCGAAGCAATGGATTGCGTAAGTATGGTTAACCGGCATTCGGATTTCCGGGGGTTTCTCGGCAGTTTCCCAGCCTTGCAGTACATCGTGAGTACGACATCCGCTAGACCTCACTGGACCTCTGGTTCACTATATTGACAGAATGGGTTCCATCGACGGAATTCGTTACAAGATCAACTACAAGGGCAAGACTTGCTTAAACTTCCATCCATGAGATCGTAGCGGCGCGAGCGCCATTCCCCGACTCCGACGGGGTGCTCACGGTTTTTGTATGAGCAAGGGTGTGTGATTGATACGTATAGTACAAGTACAGGCATTTGTGATAGTTACAGTAATGGAAAAAACTAGACAAGCGAGGCATCGTCGTCGTCGCTGTCATCCGAGTGGCGTTGGTCAGGCTCGGAATTCGGTCGGAAGACTCCGAGGAGGGGCATGGGCTCGTCCTCGAGGAAGCCGCGGGGCATCGATCCCGGATTGGCGAGAAGGACGATGGATTGGATGTTGAGGGAGATAGTGGTGTCGGCGTTTTCGTCGTCGAGTTCAGGGTGGCTCTTGATGTACTTCCCAAGAGTGAAGAGCAGGAGGACGGCAGACTCTGTGGAGAGATCATCGTGGATTTTGGGAAGCATCGATATGGAGCGCATGGAGAACTTGAAGGGCTTACACCCGTCGAAAGTCGGCACTGCGGGAGGAGTGAGTTAGGGCGCATGTGCGAGAAGGTTGGGGGCGATCTTACCATCTCGATCGGCCGGCAGCACGGGGGGTGGACCTGCAGGGTGCGTTAGCGAACATTTTGTAGTGCGAGACGTCACGTACCGCGTTGTGCGTTCACCGGAGTGGCGGGAGCCATGCCGCGGATCTTGGTTGGAGTGTTTGAGGTGCCAGTGGTCAACCTTGTCGAGAAGGAGAGGCCGGCATGGAACGACGGGAAGACGAGTGTTTGTCTGTTGAGAATGGCACCCAGGACGGCGGCCGCACGTGGCCAGGTGAGTGCTGATGGTGCAACGCAGAGTTGACGGCTGTGACCGCTGGGACTGATCAGGTCGCTGTGGGTAACGGAGCCGACGACAGAGAAGAGCGTGAGATGGGTGCTCGTCTTGAGCTGAAGGTAGTCGGAGGCTCCGATGGTGACAAAGTGGAGTGCTGTGGGGTCTGCGGTTGCGAGATTGATGATGTCGTGTGCGGTGGCGATCGAGACGTGGTCCAGACGTCTTTGGGGTCGATTAGTAGTATGGCAGAAAAAGCAAGGGCAAATGGACATACTCGGCGATGTTCGAAGGGAATGCCCTCTTGAGATACACGGGTTGCACGAGGACAAACACGTTGTTCATGGCACGTGTCACGGCGAGTGTTTCTCTGCAAGAAAGTGTCAGTGTGAGTCACAGTGGATAATTGCCAAAGGGCGTGCCTGAGTTTCGACAGCGACTGGAGCACTTCGGTTCTTGTATATATGGCGTGATTAGCGGAAGTGTCTGTCGAGTGTCGGAAAGTGACTTACGGTGTCCTGGTTTTCTCAACGCGCTTTCCTTTGTTGCGGTAGGGCTTACAGGGAGTCTCGTCGGATCGGTGACTGGCGAGAGCATCATCTGCAGGAGTATCAGATGCGGTGGAGTCGGTGTGTGCTGTCGGCGAGAAGCTGCAAAGAACTGCATGTTGGCCAGTATATGGTGGTGAGTGGGTATGAAGACTTACATGTCGTCGCTGTCTTCAGGCTTCTGCCTTTTTGCGGGTGAAGGCACTGGCATGGACGGCGACGGATGCCTCGTCTTGCGTTTGCTGCCAGTGGTGGCTGCAGGAGCATCAGTGACGGAGGCCATGGTGGCGGTTGCGAGAGGAAATCGGACGAGGTGGGAGTTGTTCGCAGTGCGACTGTTGGGGCATGCCAGTTGGCATTTGCCGTCTGGGCGCGGTCCTGAAACGGGGGCGAGAGTGTCGAGGAAATTGCGCACGCTGCGCGGGTGCACTTTGCGGGAGGCCAGGTGTGGCCTTGGCGTTCGAACGGGAGGTCCGCGCGGTGGTTGACCTGGGTGTGGTCACGAAGTGTGGGCGAGATGGTCGAGGTGGCGGCACGCATGGCGGGGGCGCGTGTTTTGCGGTAGGCTAGGCGCGGTATTGGCGTTCGAACGGTAGGTCCGCGTGGTGGTCGAGGTGGCGAGTGTAGGTGGTGGAGGGCGTTGGCAGTCGAGGTGCTGTGGAGAGGGGCCGCGAACGCATGCCGAATTGCACGCGCAGTGGGGGCGCGCGTTTCGGTCAGGTGAGGCATCGTGTTGGGACTGCTGGATGTCAGCAAAGTGTAAGCAAAATAGCGGAGAAAAATACGCACCGAGTGGGTGCGCGTGTTTTGCGAGAAGCTCGGTGTGAGATTGGTGTTGGCAGAACGTATTGCTAGTGCTACAGGTTCACCATACAATTTAATATACAGAGCACTGAGCAGAGCATACCGAGATTTGAGAAGTTGATCATCACCATGCAGACACTTTGCTACATCTTTATTGGACATGATAGCAACAGATGCACGACTCAATTGAAAGTCAACAAGAAGTCTTCTGCAAATCTCAGACTTGTTACGATCTTTCTGAGGTATTAAACAGTGAGATGACACAGCTGCAGACTGCAGAGTATGAAGACTTAACCTTTGGAGTGTACGCAAATACTGTTCATCGGACAAATAGAACCATGAGGGATTGAAATCTGCCATGGCTAAAATCAATCACTTACGCTACTTCAATCCGAAGATTTAAAGGTGTTTGAACACAAATCCTTAGTGTACTTGAACAGCGTGCTTGAAGACAAATACTTAATGTGCTTGAACACAAAATATTTAACGTGCTTGAACACGAAATGTTTAACGTGCTTAGACACAAACTCAATCAAAACAGCACTGTGAAACTGTGAACACAGTATCACAAATAGCAACTGCATCATGCAAATTAAACTGTAAGTATCCATTTGAACAAGTCAACAAGCATAGACGTACCTATTTTGCAGCTACACTCGTCCGAAACAGTCGCAAAAAATGCGAAAACTATGTCTTCAAGAGAGCAGGTCCGCGTAGATTCTACATGGTTTAGTGGTGAATCAGTAGATTAGTAATAATACGAGAAGAAGAATACACTCACATGCAAAACAGAATGATGTCGTATAGCGACTCGTCGAGGAGCGACACTGAGGTGTAACGTCGTCCAGCAGCGCCAACATCGTTGAGAAATCGAGCGCGCACGTGATGTTTGCGAGCGCCATCCTACGTGAATAGACCTGCGCTGGAACACCGTCGGCAGGTCGAGCGCAAGGGCGGAACGTTCGCGAGCGCGATCTTACGTAAATAGACCTGCGCTCGAACAGTGTCGACAGGTCCAGTGCAACAGCGACGTTCGCGACCGGAACCCTAGACGGAGCCAAGACTCAAATCGTAAGTGTTATTACTCAACTTATTTACTGATGTTGTTTTCGCACAACTTCATTCGCAGAGGCGTCTGCCGTTTCCCCTTGCCAAAGCCCTCCTCTTGTGCGATGGGCTAGGTGCGGCATTGGGATTCGCGCGCCGGGAGGTCCGCGTGTTGGTTAAGCCGCGCGCGGTCGCGAAGTGTGAGGGAGAGAGTCGAGGTGGCGGCGCGCGTAGCGGGGCTGCGTGTTTTGCGGTGGGCCAGGCGCGGTATTGGCGTTCCAACGGCAGGTCCGCGTGGTGGTCGCATTGGCGAGAATGCAGGTGGTGGAGGGTGTCGGCGGTCGAGGTGCTGTGGAGAGGGGCCGCGAACGCGCGCCGAATTGCGCGCGCAGTGGGGACGCGCATTTGGGTCGGGCGAGGTGCGGTGTTGGGACTGCTGGATGTCAGCAAAGTGTAAGTAAAATAGTGGAGAAAAATATGCACCCGAGCGGGTGCGCGTGTTTTGCGAGAAGCTCAGCGCGGGATTGGTGTTGGCACGCCGGGAGGTCCGCGTGGTGGTCAAGCCGCGCGCGATCGCGAAACCTGAGCCAGAGGGGGGAGGAAACTGCGTGCACAGGGGGGGCGCATGTTTTGTGGTCGGCCAGGCGCGGTATTGGCGTTCCAATGGCAGGTCCGCGTGGTCGTCGCATTGGCGAGAATGCAGGTGGTGGAGGCCGTCCGCGGTCGAGGTGCTGCGGAAAGCAGTCGCGAACGCGCTCCCAGTGGGGACGCGCGTTTGGGTCGGGCGAGATTCCGTGTTGGTATTGCTGCACGTCGCGGCCGAGTTGGCGATGGTGGCGGAGAACGTCGGCGACCGTCCGTGTCAGTGGTGGAGATGTGGCTAGAGCGGTCGTGAACGTGCGCCGAATTTGACGCGCAGCAGTGGCGCGTGTCCACAATGAGCTGGGCGCGACGGTAAGATTTGAATCTGACGCGCGAACAGTTTGTCGTGCGGGGGCGAGCGTCGGTCATTGTGGATGGCTACTTACCTCCACCGGTGTGTTCGTTCTTGCTCGTTGATCGTGTCTTGCTGGCAATTGACACTGGTGTATAAAGTTTAGTAAAAATCTTGCTGCTTTCGATCAAAATGAATTTGGAGGCTCACCTGAGTTCTGACACGATGGCAAAGGTCTTTCAGGATGCGCGTTGTGGTGCGTCGAGTTTCTGTTTTCGTGATGGGACTGGATGATGGCTGAATCTTGGTCAGTGAAATTATTCGACGAGTGGACCACACGTACGAAGGCGCCGAATCCGGAAATGGGTGCCGATGGACAGGGATCGCAGTTCCTGCTCGAGACGTACGATCAGTTCGAGACAGTTGAGCGTCAATTTGATGTTCAGGTCAGTTCGGGTGGGTATTTGTACCTGGTGTGGCGAAGCTCGCGCGAGGAGGTTACACTGCGTGTGTCTGGATTTGTTTCTCAGATGAGTCTTCTGCCCCCTTTCAGGCGCTCATTCAGGTTTGTCACTTCTGCAGTTCACAAGCTGCTTGCCGATGTGATTGATTCGTATCTAGGCTGCCGAGGGGAAATCCGAATCTCGCTCTGCAGACTGTTGTGGTTGCCGGTGAAGGTCCTGCATTCCGGCGAGCCATCACTGCCCGATCAAACATCTTACGTTTCATGGAAATGCATGCACGCCGTGGAACGACATCTGTAATTGATGATGTCTGGCTTGGTGCCATGCCGTGTTTTATTGCAGAGACACGTGTGCTCACGCCTATGGTGGAAGCACCGTTGTTTGACAGTGCCGATCTGAACATGGTTATTGACCCGTATGGTGCATTGGCAGAGCTAGTTGCTGGTGGGAGGCTCTCGTGGACATCAGACAATGTTGTGTCATGCATGGAGCTGAAGGGCGAGTATGACGACAGGTATGTCATGATATGAAATCATCTGTCTGCATTGCTTGAGGTGATGTTGTGTTTATGTAGGTGGTCTACTCCTGTGCAGTCATCCCTTGACATGGTGCGTGCCGGTGAGCTCGTTGAGCTTTCAGTAAACTTTCGGCTTCGTGAGCACGTGAGTCCAAATGGGGCAAACGTAGGTCGCAAGTTTCTTACACGACTTGACACTGTCATGATCGTGAGTCGCTTGGGGATGAAGGTGAGTTGGCGTTTGCCCGCATTTGTTTGTTATCAGAAAATGACTTCTAATGGTGGCTATAGCTGATTGCGGACTGCGAGTCAGAGCACTTGTCGATGATGCGTATTGCTGCGACGGCTGATAACACTGGTGGAGGTAAGGCTCCAAAGAAGAGACGGTTCTCTTACCTCCAGTCTGTGCCTTCTGTTTTAACCAGTACTGAACAACACTTGAATTCGCTGACAGTATTGGACAAGACAAATGATGTAGATCAGGTAATGAAGCCGGTGGGATAGTTGCAGTACTGTTACATATAGTCATATGATATAAGATACTGATGGTATGGCTGTCTTTTAAAAATTCAAATGAAAGGATCATCTGAGCATGAAGATCGTGTCGATCAGGTAATAAAGTCAGTAAAATAGGTATAGTGTCATGGTGGCAATAATACAATATTTTGTTGATTCAATTGATTCGATTGAATGGACCATTTGATGTATACACGAGGATGTGCGCCCAGCGTCCGTCGAGTGTAAGGAGTGGTGTAAGGTCATCGGTATCCATTCTGTTTTCATATTGTGGGACACCGTCATTCTGTTGGTCGTCGTATATCCATCCTGAGTTGTGAGAGTGGAGGAGACGTGCTGTAAAGTGACTAGATCCAAAGTATATTACAGTTGCCAATGAGTAGGTGGTCTGCATATTGAATTCCAGATCAAATATGGGAGTGATAACTGTATGTTCCTGTGACGGATATTCAAAGTATAGGATGGGCGGTGGTGTAATGTTGCTTATATTATGATTAACTTCACTGTCGCATTGACATAGTAATCTTCTTGCATGCAGAATGGATGATGTCATGGTCTTACTTAACCAAGTTTGTATAGTTTGAGTTTCAGCAGAGGACTGCATGCCGGTGGACACAATAACAGATGGGATTCTTAGTGTGATTGGGCGTGTTTGATGACAGGCAAGACACTGTATGGTCGTGACTATATTGTTAGTGGTGTTTTCCAATGCACATTCAATTATGCTTGCTGCAGAGGCAAACTGTGGACCATATCTTGGATATTCCATAGGTGATCGTCTACTAAGAAAATCTCGGAGAAAATCACGTTGCATGTTAAACTGCTCGGCACTGGAGTCTGGGCTCAGATTCTCAAAACAACTGACCAACAGACTAGCAATAGCTGACTGATTCTTCCACATTGCACGCAAAGAAGAGCTCAGTTGAGAGTAGCTGTGATAAAGTGACATAAATGTGGCATCATATGCACATGAGTAGTCTGTGGATGACCATTGGCAACCGTGCTTGTACATGTATGGTGATGAGTCAGAATGTGGCATTGATATTGATGGCAAAATCCCTGATTCTTCCATTTGTGAGGCTTTCCGTTTGGTTCCTTTTGACTGTGAGCTACTGTCACTAAAGTTGACATGAAATGACTTTGTGGAGATGTCATCTTCACTTTCAGGATTTGGCAAAGGTACGAGGGATCCTGTTTTAAAGCCATAGTGAATTAAAGTATTTTGCTCAAGCACTTTAAATTTCTGTGTCTCATGGTATAGGTCAGCAGAAACAGGCTTGTTTAGCTGTTCCAACTTTACTGGCTCTGAGATGAATAGGCCATTTCGTGTGCGTGCTCTCGATGCAGCAACGTAGGCTGCAAAGCCGCCCTCAGTCATGTTGTTAAGTACTTTAGGCAGTGTTTTGCCTTGCGATGTGTGGCCGGTGACCGCAAATGCAGGTTGTATGATGAGTTGCAGTCGGGTAAGTTGGTACCTTTGTGTATCTCCATTGGCATCTCTAAGTGTAGTTGTAAACCGCCATGTTGTTGGAGCAATAGGCACATAGCCTGAAGGCAAATCAGGCAGATGTACCTTGCTTGTAGGAAACTCAACTATAACACAATCTGCATATGTGTATCCGACAGGACAGTGTTTAATCGAGATGTGCCTAACTATGCCTTGAGCACCATTGGTGATTCCAAGTTCTGTGGAGATGTTTCGACTGCGTAGTACCACAGGCATGCCTACATATAATGAAATGAATGCTGGGAGGGCACCTTCAGAAGTAAGTGGTGTTACATTGAGCCGCAGAAGTGCATCACGAATGGATTTCTCAGGTACCTGACCATCAATCTTATCGACCGCTGTGCATATTATTAAGCTCAAACCATTGTCTGCATCACAGTTTGCCTGTGCCTTTTCAGTATTAATAACTTGTCGTAGCAGGTTGGTATTGACAATTACTGTAGGATCATCATCATCATCTTTTATTTGAAGGCCATCAAGATGGGTCGCTGACTTAACTACCCGTGTATTAAATAGGTCAACATCTCCCATTGTGCATTCACGTGTTCGCAATCTATTGACTGCATCACCATACTCAGGATCATCTTTCATACGTTGTTGCTCAGTCAACTCTACCACTGCATTTACTTGCTTCCATGCAAGTCGACCAAGCCTCTTGCTGAGTTCATCTGATGTCTGTCTTGCATATGCTGATATAGGTGTGTATAGCGGTGTGCCACCTACTGGAGGATATTGATAAAAATCTCCCGCAAAAATTATATTAATACCTCCAAACCATACATCTGGTTTTTCTTTGGCATAACGTAATGCATGATCTATCTCAGAGAGTAACTGACAGCTAACCAGTGAGATTTCATCAATAAGTACAAACTCAACACGCTGCCATTCATCACGCAATACTGTACGATTTTGAACACTAATTGTTACTGTATAGTCCTGTTCACTTTCGCCCAGTCGCCTGTTGCCTTTACCCTTTGTCTTTGATTGTATCTTCAAACCGAGTCCTTTGTGAATTGTCATTCCATCGATTAGAGCAGCAGCAGAGCCGGTAGGTGCAAGAAAACGAATTTGGTATAAGCAGCCAAAGTATGTCATCAATTCTTTCAAGGCTTTGACAACATGCGTCTTGCCTGTGCCACCGGGACCGGTGAGCAACAAGTACAGCGGTTCCATTACAGTGTCTGATTTGACTACATAGTTTTGAATAAAATGTTTTGCACAAATCTGAAAGGCACATGCCTGCTTAGCATTTAAACTGTAGGATGTTTGAACAGACTGTAGAACTTTCATTGGGGACTGTTCAACTAATGCAGTAGTATCACTCATATTTGGGGCTTCTGTGGATGTGGTTAATTGTTCTGGTATTGTAGGCGTCATGTAATACTCAGTGTATGCAGGAGTTTTTTCGAGAGTAAACTGAGAGCTCATGTTGCCAGCATTACGTCTTTTCTGCATTACTTGCATCTCTTGCTCATGTAGGGCTGACTTCCACTTCTGCAACTGCAAGTGGGTTATATTATATTTAACAGTGGATAGTGCAGCTATCTTGTGATAAGTGTTGTGATGGAGCCAATTGCACTGTTCAAGTAAAGAGACAAACTGCTGTATCTTAAAGTCATTGACCGCACTTCGTCTATCATGTGATGTAACATCAACATCATCATCTGTGTCTGCTGTAACAGATGAGTACATGGCTTTTGTCAAGTGACGTGATTCTGCTAGCAGCGTCGCTCGCTTGCGCAACCGTTCAC